TCAGCTGTGGAATATGCCGATGCTCGCTAATCTTTCTCGAGCTAATGTCACGCGCGCACTTCTTGACGGCTTGATCTCGTAGGTCCTGTGAGCGCGGTTCTTTTTATCGCTGGAATAGCTAACACCCCCATAACAACCCCGACTGGTAAAAGGGATGTACCAGCTGCATGGTACGTATGGTACCGCCTGCAGAAAGTCTACATGGCAAGCCGCCGAGGCCTGTCGATGGCTCGTTGTCCCCGGTCCTCGTTGATGGCTTACGAGGCTACCAGCGCGCTGGCGTTGGTCTTCGCTGGCTGGCCGCCAATAGTAAACATTATTGGTGGCTAATCCCTCTGGCTCACACACTGCTCCGACTTCTTCACGCCCAATCATGTTTTTGCGCTCCCGATGTATTGTATGGGATCAAGCGATCAGACGCTGTTGGCAACGTTCAAGGGAGCCTTTTGTATTTGAGCCTCCAATGGGGCTCGCCTAGCTGCAACACGTAATCCTATAGGGCGACGTCTAGGGCAACTTGGCGGACAACAACCGCGTCGATTGGAGAGCCCACAAACCACAATACGATGCACAAAGGAGCCCAAAAAACGAACCATGTGGGCCGCTGTGAGTGTGTGAGAATGGTAGAGCTGAGATGAGTCTGTCGCAACTATGAGCGGGACGCCTTCGTTCTAGAGGTGTAGATGCACTCATGCCTCTTCCTGTCGTGATTTTCTTATCACAGAAGTTGGGCCTAGCATTATGAGCTTCATGAGAATGATGAGAATGGGATCTACGGTTTAGAGAGACCACCCTTTCACAGCGGTGCATACAACGATCGGGGATGCCCCCCCCTCCCGTCAACCGGTTCGTTTTCGCGTTCGATCGATAAACCTCACGCGAACTTTAGATGATAGAGTTTGTTTGCAGCTTTGAGGGGAGTCAGCTCGTTGAAATTCGTTTTGACAGCTTGCAGAGCTGTTACTCGTCTCAGCACTCATGGGGAGGGGTGTGACGAATCGCCCGTGCTTTTTCGCTTAGGTTGCTTGATCGCTCGACTTCAGGTTCTCGCTCAGCGCTGCAAGAGTTTCGCTAGCTCCTTCCACTGAACGGACACCCCCACTCCACTTCGCTCAGCTCGGCCATTTGAACGCTTTGCTCAGAGCCGACTTGGGTCGGGCGAGATGTGTGTTCCTCACTCTGCTATCCCTGTGAAGGTATTTGATCACACATACGCTGTGGGCACAGACTCGCGTCAGCCACACCAGCTGCTATCGATATTCAAGGTTCCCAAGGATCCCCATACGAAACTTGCCCCCCTCTTGGCAAGTCCCAGTCCGCACGTGTCCATAGCCCGAAATACCCCGGGTTTTATTTAACGACACAGTACACAATATAGCCTCCACTTCCTCTCTTTGGTTCCGGCTCAGAACCACAACACCCGTTCTTTCCCGGTCGGCCTGGGTCTGGGCCGAGTTCGCTTTTATTTCTCTGAGCCTGGGCGAGGCTCGTACCAGCTTCTACTTTCTTCTCTTCGAAACAAACAACGACCCGGCTGGAGTTGATGACTCGGGTTGAGCCCATTCCAAAGCCAAGGCACTCACCCACAACCTGGGACTACCCGCGCACCAGGTCCACAATGAACCGATACCGATAACCACACAATGCACCGGGGCACGCCAATGTTCCCAAGCATACAATACAGTTACCCTGCCTAAACCTCAGAATGGATCACATTCCACCCGAAAATGGCGAAATCCACCGATACCTTTCACAGGTAAATCCTTGCTGGACAATATATACCATTTTCTCAACCTCGTCGCATACTATTTGCTCGGTATTATACCTCACATCGGTGTACAGAATTGACTTTCGAGTGTCTTTCCAGATCTGCATGTCGTTACGCCTAGAGTCGTGAAGGGCCTGATCCATCTTCAGGACGAAGAGGATGAGGCCAATGCTATCCACGTACTCCAACTCCATGAGGTAGCTTTGAAAGCAGTTTGGGCCGTCATATAGGGACTTGCCATCATAACACTCAGGAATTGTAGTAAAGATCTTGTAGCCCGTGCCCTTGACACTGGCGAATACTTCATGGATGGTTTCGAGTGAATTCAGCAGGGCATCTTGACGAGAGACACACGACGGCGCAGTTTCTCTTGCATGACTTTGGACGTTGCTTAATCGCGGCGGGTGGCCTCCTCCTTGTTGGTGCTCGTATACTCGCTGGATGTGGTCATATTGATGGTGATGCGTTCGGAGACCGAACTGGCGGGGCCGCAGACATGGTGGTACTCCTGCAGTTGGTAATGCTCGTGGGGTCGTAGTGTTCGTGGACTCAGTTGCGCTCGCGAACTTAGTGATGCTCTCGTAATCAGTGGTGTTCGTGGTGATCTCGAAGCTCGTGGTGTACACAGAACTGGAGGGGATCATGTAGATGGTGGTGAGTGCGAACTCTGTGGTGCTTACGAACTCGTTGGTGCTCTCGGAGGTTGTGGTGCTTTCAGAGGTTGAGGTACGTTTGGAGCTGGTGGGGCTCATGTAACGAATTTCACTGAATAGTACCCGGGTCAATATTCAATTTTGTCTCCAAAAAGCGTTCATATTTGGGACGGGGGGCTTCTAAATGGAATTATGATTTTATTATGCTGGGAGATAGGTAGCGTAAGCTAGCTATTGGGAAGCCCAACAGAGATTAATTTGGACAACTGGGTCAAGGTTCGTGCAACATGATTTAGTGTTGCCCACATGATGAGAACGACACCGAACTCGAGTGAACATGAATGTAATATTTGTTCGTTGGACGAACTGTTCCGAGTGTTTTTTACTTCATGCTTGCAAATGTGATGCTACGAATGAAATAATGAAATACGGACTGCTTGTCATTAACCCCTCCAGACCGAAGCCTCACAACTTTTTCATATGCAGTATGCAGCATAACTAGACTTGACGTTTGTAAATAAAGTGATCGGGTTAGCGGCAAGCGAAAGGCTGAGATTTGCAAAAGTGTGTAGAGCGGTGCTAAAGCTGCCGTATACTGCATGTTGTTAGCCAAAGTCACGGAGCTAAGCTGCATAATACCGGTTACCAAGGAAATGGACAGGGCAGCGGCGGAATAGAACGTGCGCTCACCGGCGCTGCACCTTGTTCTCGTTTTCTAAAATTTGGAAAATCAAACTTCCTATACAGTTTATCATATACGGAGTTGGGGTGTCACCCCTAGCTGGTAACGCAATCAAATTATGCTGGTAACGCGATCAAAGGAAACGCCACTGAGCGTTTTTTGTTGTATGCAATTATCTAATGATGTAAGCATCCAGCATCAACAGCTGCTTGAACACACGTCTAGCAGCAAGATACTGCTCATAAACTGAGGTCGAAGTATGCAAGTCAAGATCGGCCTGCACGAACAAGATGCAGGTTGAGATGGGCTTGCGCGGAGCCAGGCACAGCAGTGGTAAACAGAGTCCTTACTTGAAAATATACACGCATGTAATCAAAGCTATCCTGTATTTATGTACCTGAAACATCAGGATAATACGCAGCTTACTCACTACGGCGATGTGCGACGTCGTTTGCTCGACGCAGGTGTCGTCGGAGTGCCAGGCGTCGAAGGTGTTCCAGGTACATCTGCTGCCTTGTGCATTTGGATCGTGTTGCCCTTGTCCACAGGAATCAGCTTGCCGTGCATCCACTCCTTGTGCCACACGTCCCAACAGGTCATTGCAACTCCGCGCACTTGGCGCCGCGCCCTCGTACAAAGGAACACTGGGCCCTTCTCTCTGCAGCTTCCGCAAAAGTAAGTTGTAGTCGCTGCTCGCTGCTTGTCTGGGCACAACACTGAGCTGATTTTGCAAGTTCGCTGCCGTCTCTTAGCCTGTGTTCCCTCGTTGCGCCACTCGTCGACTTGGCGAGTTGTGTGTGAGGTGGCTTCATTGCTACCGACTGGAATGGGCTCGTACGCAGGTGGAGGCGCAGGCTGCGCCGTCCCGAAGGTGTTGCCCTCGTATATATCCGATCCGTGCACACGACAGAGCTGCAGATGCAGCTTTTTCATGAACTTGACGTGGCTCAGGTGGCGGGACTGCTTGTTCTGGTAGTACGCCTTGTGCACGATGTAGCTGTTCACGATCGCTAAGTCGATCAAGCCAAGCGCGTGACTTGTGGTATTTACTGAACCGTAAAGCTCGCTGCAGTGAGTACCGCTGCAGCCGCAGCTGGTCATGCATATCCACGCCCCCCATGAACGCATGATAGTCCTTTACGACTCGTGGTTATGGCACTTCCACTTGTACTGCTCCGTCCTGCCAAGCAACCCGATCAAGCTCCAGCCCCCCCCCGTGCAGAGAAAATGAACGGCGCGCGAGTCCCACCAGCTAATCGCTGTCATGTTGGGCACGAGCTTAGATTTCACCAACTTGAACGAGCCACGGGCAACATCTTTGGGGCGCGTTTTCTTCTTCTCAATCACAGCTTTGCAGTACCCCAGGCGGTTTGTCATGATCGTTCCCACACAGTAGAAGCCCATAAGCAACAGCTAGAAGCGGTCAATGACGATCAGCCACATTCCCCGCTTCCGAGCATCCGGCCCGAATACCTCGAGCAAGTTTCAAACCACCGCAGCAGGTCCTGACTTCATGGCAGGCTTGTGAGCATCGCTGGAGTGCTGCTTCATACCGCAATAGACTCCAAAGCTGTCGATTTGCAGCATAATCATATCTTGAGTTAGTAACCATAAAAGGCATAATACAGCACAACCATTTTTGAACCCCCCAAAAAACGTACCGAATGCAGTACGCGGTTACAGCACTGCAGAGCATGAAGCGCTTGGTGCCCCACTTGTGCGCCTAGCCTTTCATGAACACGCGCATCTTGTTGAACGAAGAGCAAACCGACAGCTCTGGCTCGTCGAATGCTAGATGCGAAGGCGCGAAATATCCTCGGGCGAATGTCCACTGCAGGACTTCTTCGACAAGTTTTCGGATCTTGCAGGCACGGTCGGTATGGGCGCGGGGATCGCTGTTTGATTTAAATTGGAGATTGCGCGAGATCTCCATCAATCGATCTCTAGCCAGCACCGACCCAAAGCGCCCACGAGAGATAGCTCCTTCGTCCGTAGTCTTCCAGTGGTTCGACGGTTTCGCTCGATTGGGCGCAATCATCCTTGCCACGAGCAACCCAACCCACCGACATAGCTTGTGTGGCAGGATGAGCTTCATCCCCTCCATCTCATACGGAATGTCGCGCTTGGTCTTTCGCGGCAGCTTCGGATTCAGGCGCCTTTTGTTTTTGTAGCTTAGGTAGGCTCCTCCCGCCCTCAGCGGCAATACCTCACGATGGTACTCGTTTGAGCAGGCAGCAATATGCTGCCAGAGAACCACAGGCATGAAGTAGAAGAATAACGCGAGCGGCGAATCACACCGGCGTAAAAACGTCCGCTGTTGGCACCGAGTAGCCTCGACGAATACTTGGATAGCTCCCCGAGTCATTGACAGGCTCGTACGGAGTCATGAGGTACTCAGCCGTATCTGTATGACGTCTTCCCAACCGGTTGCGGACATCTCACGCAGCGCTTGGTTCTTGAAGTTGCCCGCCAAAACTTCGTCTTCGCCGCCAAACTGACCCAAAACGTTCTCGGCAAATAGAACGTCAGCCGTGATCTCCTGCTCGGTCTCCTCCGGGTCGTCGTGGTAATCATTCGGAGGGCAGTGGGACTTCATGTCTTCGTCCGAGTCGTACTCTCCCGTCTCGACGTCGTCCTTCTCAGTTTCATCGCCCGAATCGATTACGCCTCACTGCGGTTCATTGTCTCCGACTCCAACAGGGTTCAGGTCATCATTGTTGTCTGCTAGCAGCTCGTTGCCCAGCGCGCTTACTTCGATACCTTCATCACCCCCATATATACAACAAGTTCGAAATAGTGATCAGTATAATATTCAGGCTACGATGCAGTCTAATATACAGCATATGACACAGCATAATATACTGCATCATATACTACTTATCATTCAGCATAAGATTCACGTCACCAGACTCAACGTCGCTTGGAGCTCCGTTCGACAGCGCCGAATCAGCACTTGAATCATGATCGTCTTCGTTGTCAGCCGAATCTCCAGGCGTCACGTGAGGCGATGTCGCAATCTGGACTTGCGGGGTTCGAGGTGGTGTTCTCGGAGCTGTCGACCATGTCGCTTCTTCAAGCGAACGTCTAGCAGAGCGACGGGCCGGACGCTTGCCTGGCGCTTGGTGCCGAACGGGTGGGTAGGTGGAGGGGGGAGTAAGCGGTGCATCGCGGGTGGCAGTAGCCGTCGGCTGTGCTGCGTGGTCGATAGCAGCAACCGGAGCTTCACGGGCAACAGCAGCTACAGAAATCACGGGTGGTGTCGACCGGGCGGCGAAATGACCGTCGTGGCAGTAGCGGCAGCACGGGCGCTTGCTTCGGCAGTCTCGATGTCAGGCAAGTAGTTGAGTCAAACAACTTCAGCAGCGGCAGCGATTTGAGCATCACCAGGCGCACATGCTGAAGCTGGAGCTGCCGGAGCAGTCGAAGCGGGGCCGGAAGCTGGGGCTGGGTGCGTGCTTTACGCCGTAGGACTGCATACCTTGCATGTAAGCGGGTTAGATCTTATTAGCGAGTATAATTCAATGCACACATACCGTTTGCATAATACACCAGCACAGCTTCTTCACCGCAGAGGATATCAACGCTGTCCGCTCCGCTCGCGTCACCATCACGTCGCAGGGAGAAATAGCGGTTGTCCAGCCCGCGTCTCGGGGGCGGCTTCCGCGTCCGGCCTTGCTCACGTAGCTCGCGCCACACCGACTTGAACGACAGGTCGCGAGCTGTGATCTCCAGGTCGCGCACAATCTTCCCGCGGGGCTTCACCATCGACGTGTGCTCCGCGCGCCCAATTCTCGAATGAGGCGGATTTTGAAAAGGAGGCAAGGGCCTAGCTCTGAGCTACTCGTTGGAGAGAGTGTCCTAAAAACCTCTAGTATCATATACAAATCAGATGCAGTACGGGGAACCTGCTATATCTCATATTTTGAATTTTGAGAAAGTGCCGGTTCTTTCCTATGTTGCAAAAAAAGGCGCGAACAGAAACCCGACGAATTTTAAACTTAAAGTTTGTATACCGTGTGGCGAGGGAAAATACACCCTATACAAACTTCAAGTCAAATATCGAATAAACTGCATATATGTAGTTTAACCCCTTGGACGCGGAGGGTTGGAAATTCACCTTATGCTGTTCTGAACAGCATAAGAAACACTTGATTTTACTATACCTCTAAATCCGCAAAAAGTGATTATCGTCCCTTCCCGTATCTAGCTTGGATATCATTGGTCCACGTATCTAAACGTGGTCATTTGATTGGGCATCAAGAACATATGACTACCAGGGTAGTTGAACTACCACGCACAAGCACGAACCATTTTTCAGAAAAAATCAAACATCGGTTCCCCTCTTGCTGCCGCCACTCATTCTTCATTCGGCGCAGCAAGAGACAAAGTGGCATTTTGGGATGACATCGGCGCGGTGGGGCTACTTCCGTGCAAGCCCCAGCAGGACGAGAGGCTCAGTACGTGCGCTAAGTATCTTGGTATAGATCCCAAACTAACTAGTGCGACTATCGCTTTGAAGCGCGAGCTACTTGAAGTCTGATTGTAAGCACCGCGGCGCAAGCACTCCCTTCTTTCGTGCTGCTTTGTACGTGTGCGCACAACTTCTGCTGGTTCGAATACATGCTAACCACTTGGAACCTGAATCCTCCTTCTTTCCATCCGTCATCTTCTTCTCCTGCTCTGACTCAGACTCGGAATCCAAAGCTGCAAACTCATCGTCAAGCTCATCGTCGATAGACATCAGTGTCCGCTTGCCACGTTTTTACTATTTGCTAACAGAACTGTATGCGTCATCTTTGCCTAGCGCGACTGTGCCGCGAGGAATCGTCATGGGCGTTGGGACGCTAGAGGTATGCGTTGCATCGTTGGGATGATTGCTGCGATTGGACTAACATTTGTTGCCTTCAGTAGACGGTCGTGGTAGGATGGGGACTCGAGTATCTCCAACAGGCGTCGATTACCGTGAATGCCCATGGCTTGCTGACGTGGAAGGTATACTATATGCGCTGTATGCTGACGGAATGGCTTATCCTGGGAGACCAGCTTGCTGGTTTACCAGCCTCACAAACTTTAATTCGTCACGAATGTATTCCCAGTTACAGGTAACGTTCAGGAGACATCAAAATCGCAATTAGCGATGGTACAAAAGCTTCTCAAAAGCAAAACACTTCTTTGGAAGTTTTTCGCTCTTCACAAGTTTTAAGAAAGTAGGCAGACATTTGTTCGTTTCAATTTGACTAGAATATCATTTCGTAGTTCTCCGGTTGCACATTACCGGCCAGATGCTGCGGCTGCGAAGCAGGCGCAGTAGATGGCCGTAGTTATCATCAACTAACCGTGCTTCTTGACTCAAATTTTGTCTTAGGTTAGATTTGTGCTACAAAACCGCCATCCACAGGCGTCTCCTGCGCCTTTTTCGCAGTCGCAGCATCTGCCTGCCTCCGACTGCTAGGGTTCTCTAAAGCTGCAGTATGCGTAGTTCCACAGGCAGTTCACCAACTACTGCACCGACCTCTAAAGAATATACAACAGGTTCGATACAAACGCGAATTAGAAGTAAACGCGTCGACTTTCAAAGAGTTTTAGATTGCGAAGGGCTGCATCTGAACATCTTTAGTATAAACTATCTGTGAACAACCATGCAGAACTTTCACTTCCACGAAAAAAAATACTAAGCTTAAGTAGAAAATTGGTCTCCCAGCCAAAGCGCAGCAACCTTGTACTGATTGAGATTGGTTTCTGCTTAATGAAATGTTTCACGAAGATGTACATTACGCTGGCTGTTGAGACGACGACATGTCTACATGAACGACAGGTCAAGAGCAGCATCGCCTCCGGTGGCAACGTGATATGTGTTTGAGTGCTGCCCAAGAACGGATGGCGCTGAAGACGAGCTGAAGAGGAGCCTGCTGCTCATATTGAGGTATCGACCGCCGCTGAAGTAAGGAATGTTGTGGACTTCAAGTTTTACATTCAAGATGAGAGGACGCCGATTTTGCGTTGAAGGTATGGGTGAAAGTTAATTTTTACTTGAATGCTGACTTGGTCCGCTTACAAGTTTGACTTTATGCAGACAGGATCAGGACAGGATGCCTTCTCGTTTTGTAACCAAGTCACATCCTCCACAACCGTAGCAATGCGAGTCACACTATAGTGCAGGTAACTAGCACGTGAATATAGTTCCTCTCGTACATTACATTGCGATATGCTTGTTCTCATGTTGCTCCTATCTTGCTCACACACATAATTCATACTGTTCGACTAATCGAAGTGTGGTGCCATCTCTGCTTCAATGTCGGTGTGCGAAGACAACATCAGCTTACTCTGTAGTTGCTCTTCTTCTTTTGCATTGTTTGGTAGCGTTGGAGCGCGCTGTTGGCAATGTAGTGGGGGTCCTAGAGGGCTTATCACTTGTAGCAACCATCAAGGCGACAATACCATAGCATCCATTGTGTTATATGTAAGATAGAGCGGAATGTGTACCCGTTCAGGCGCAACGTATCTCTAAATATCAGTATTGCATAGAATGCACTGTGAGCAGCTCATTGGAGGATTTTTATCCGCAGATCACACCAGTCCCTTCTAGCGGAATAATTACCAGGGAGCTTAGCAACAAACTGTGTGAAGAAGAGCCAAATTTATACTCGCGTTCACTATGTCATACTGAGTCTCATACGATTTCTTACGCCGTCCGGGACGGTTTAAGCGTTTTTTAATGCCGTCCATGTCACCCCTCCGCGTCCAAGGGGTTAATGAAAATCCTAATCCAGCATTATGCAGCAGCCGAGTTGGAGGGGTTAATTAGGCTATTCTAATGTGATCGTCATTCTAGAAATACCGGGTGTATGTACTGTGCTGAATGTGAGGTTAAAATTACGATCTATCTTTGCTTGTTAGCCACGAGTGCACAGTGCGCTGAATTGGCTGTTTGTGGGTAGTATGAAGAGATTTTGAATCAGGTAATTCAATGGCGGCAGAGCACAGAAAGATATCGAGGTTCGCCAAAAAATACAATGTAAAAAATTCGATATTTCGACCAAGTTCTCCTCAACCACTTTCCGTTTTTAAGGCCAATTTATCATGTGATACGTGAAGATATATCTACGTATAGCGAACTATCACAGCAAGCACCACAATTGATAAGTCTGCCCAGCTGTGAATGCTGTATTCTCTAGCTTAGTAGTGGTATCAAAAAATTGATGCAAATTAAATGCCAATTTGAAGCCGATGCCGATTGTTTTACGAATTCTAATGCATGCTTTGGTGAAATTGCAAGTGAGGAACGTCCCTTTAATCTATCTCCCAGACTCAACAACGTACCTAGTTTTATATCTATTATTTAATATATCATTCTTCTATAATGCATTATGCTCATGTGTTGCAGTTGGATGGACATGCATGCGCACTTTGTAAGCCTGTACGGTCTACCAGTATTAGTAGCTCAGATTTGGTACATTTAGTACGCGGTTGAACGGTAATGAACAAGGAACCGCCGTCTACTATCGATAATTAAGCTTGGAATTGTTTCCAACAATATCCACGCAAATGCATACACACACCCTGGAGAACGGTTAAAGTGCACCGGCGCACCACGTCGAAATATCCACCAACACATACATCACCCACGTAATGAACGAAAAATGCTCTAGGGTTCATATTCGATAGCATTTTCATCAATGGAGCCATTCACGCGTTACCCTGCCATGTTTTCTACTTTATCTATGTCATATCATGAAAAATTGTTAAACAACTAGACGTGGCTTGCAATATGTACCGGACTTGTGTTATCTGATCCAAATTCGAAATCATGACGTGGTTACTATTTTGTGAAGGGTTTGTATTCGGTGATATCCGTTAGTTGGTTGTGGGCATGGGCTCGGTTGTTCTCGCGGTCTAAGTGGTGCTCGCGGAATTGTTGGTGCTCACGGGGCGTGTCGTGCTCATGGATCTTGTGGCGCTCTCGGGCTCAGTGGTGTTTGTATAGCTCGTGGAGCACGCGGAGCTCGTGGTGCACTCAGAGCTCGTGCTGCTCTCGAAGTTCGTGGTGAACTCGGTGCTCGTGCTGCTCTCGGAGCTCTTGCTGCTCGTGGAAACCGTACTGCTGTGGGCCTCGCAGTGCGCTCGAAGCTCGTGCTGGTCTCAGAGCTCATGTTACACTCGGAGCTGGTGGTGCTCGCGGAATCCGTGTTGCTTTCGGAGCTCGTGGTGTACTCGAGCTGACGGCGCTCATGTAGTTGGAGCTGACGCGAGTGATGCTCTCGGAGCCAGTGCTGCATCGAAAAAGGCGTGATGTGTATTCAGTTACATATGCATTGCGTAATCTTAGCGTGACCAAGACGTCCACCACTATCTATCTCATGCTGCTAAGAACCGGATACGCGGTAGTGAACGAAGCGCTGCTGACCAGTTAGTTCACCCCAGGCCTTGCCTATACCGGCAAGTTTTCCAGAGCGGCGGCGCTTGCGCTGTGTTCCCCCTTTTGCATCTGAAGCTTTGATAAAAACATTGACTAACACTGTTTCGCATTGACTTGCCACGTTTTGCATTGCAGATACCCATTGAACCCTGTCCACCTCTTGTGACAATGGAGGAACTGGTGGGATGCTGCCTAAGTCGGCAACACAGGCAACGATTTCAACAGCGTGAAGGCAATCCTTCTGCGCGCGATTTCCTCGCTCCTTTGGTATGAAAACCAGGCCTTCAGTGTAGAGCTGGACGTGAACATCGGTGACGTGCCTACCCTTCAGCTTCGTCAAGATGCTGGGCCAAGCCCTCCCAAGCTGAGGGGGAGAGAGAGGGATCGCAGAGAGAGACCGCCAGAACTTTCAGCATCTGGATTGGTGAAGGAAGCGGTGCCTTCTGGTTGACGATCAAGCTGCCGAAGCACAAGACGTAACATGCTCTAGAGTTCCTCATTGGAGGTCATTAGCTGCTGATGCCCTATGCGTAGCTGCTCCAGCGTTTCAGCAAAGGTATCAAAATCAACAAACTGCTCTGCTTGCTCCTCGATTGCAAGGCTGTCTTTAACGCGTTGTATCGGAAGTGAAAGGATGTTGTCGCTGACAAAGCGTTTGCGAACCTTGCTTCCCCAGTCAAGCAGATCAACCTGACATTGAAGCCGCGCAGGCAGAGAGGAATGAACCCGCTCAAGTTCTTGGTGGATGTAACAGGGTTACACGCACAAGTGGCTACAGTCACTTGTGACTCTAACAGACACGACGTCTGTCAGAGGTTCGAAAGACTTTCTCGACCTTGGTGTAGACACACCAAAGGCTACATACATTTACGATCACCACGACGGGTGGTCCATAGAGACTTAGGATTCCTATTGGCTGAAAGCAGCATCTTTTAGCCGATGAGCGACATGCATAGCATTGGAATTCTGCCAACCGGCCGTTGGCAGATTCCTAACTTAGAATATTACATTTAGAGGAAGTCAGAAACATAAAACAAAAATAGCAGTTCTCATTTTAACCCAAAAACATTATTTGGATCGTTTATTTAGATTAATCTATACTCGGAGGTCCGAGTATAATTAACTCTAGTTTAAACTAAGCTACGCTTCCTCATACACGTGCGCATACGTATAAGCCGTGGTAGTGAGCCAAGGTAGGCCCATTACACCTGGTAGCACTTTGTAGTCCGTCCAACGACCGACTACCTGAGTTCGTACGAACGTGGAGCTGAGAACCTTCCCATGGATACAGAGGTGTCCATGGAAAGCTCCACTACGCCTGCAACTCACGTTGCACGCGCTGACTGTCCCCATCTGTCGGATCCAGAGTGGGAGGCCCTCCAACGACTGTCAACAGTCATTGGTGAGGCGGCTGTAGCTACGATGCTGCGTACGCTAACGCCGACAAAGCAACACGGTTTTGCTCTGGGTTTCATCCTGAAGGAGCAACGCGATGTTGCTGCTACTACCGCGGTGCCGTCCGGGACGACACCACGCGCGCAATCGCTGAAGCTCAATGTGAACAACTATGTCGTAAGAGAGGGTGAACCTCTCCTCCGTTGGCTTGTCGAACTCGACACTGCCATTGCGGCTCAACGTATCGCCGACCCGTTGTCGAAGGTTGCGTTCGCCATGCCATGTCTTGGCGGACGTGCAAGAAGTTGGGTGTATGGACGCCGACTCTCGGATCCTACGTGCTTTAGCACGTACGAGGGTTTCAAGGAGGAACTCAGACAAGCGTTTGAGCCCCCGCAAAACGAGTTCCGGTCGAGGGCGGAGTTCCTCGACCTGCAGCAGGGCAAGTATGATGTCCATGCTTACGCTCAGAGAGCACGGTACTTGGTCTCGAACATCGTGACCAATCCGATCGATGAGGCGACCAAGGTCGTCACGTTCATGAAGGGACTGAGAGATGGGCCTGTGAAGACCTATCTCTTCCGTGAGTACCCGAGTACTCTCGAAGCTGCAATTACTCTTGCAATGCAGGAGGAGTTTAGCTTGCGGCAGGCTAAGCTGCATGCACATGTGCCGAGGCCACAGCCACGCCCGGTAGTGAGGACGGGAGGCCCAGAACCCATGGACCTCTCGAGTGCTGCAACTACTGGACCCGACCCCAGCAGTCGCAGGGAAACAATGTGCGATGTTACCGTTGCGGTAGAGTCGGTCACTTTGCTCGGGAGTGCACGGCCCCCGTGCACCAACAGGGTGGCTATCGTGGCGGTGCCGGGCACCGTCGCAACCAAACAAAAAACGCTGGACGCCAGTAGGCGCGGGGCGCCCTACTGGTAATGCAGTTCCGCGTGTCGACCTTGGACACGCGACACTGAGGACTGCAGCCCCCAGTGAGGTTCATTCTCACTGCAAGAACCAAGATGACAAGCCTGACCTTTTCACCCTGAACGTGAACTCGATGAGAGCAAGCGGCTCTCTCCGTGCTTTGGTAGATTCTGGGGCGTCGAAGAACTTGGTTCGACTGCGAAGTCTATCAAGGCTTGACTTCGAGGATTTTAAGATACCTCGAAGTATGTTGGAGGTACGACTGGCAACGGTGCCGTCGTGAAGACCGAGAAGCGCATGGTACGCGTGCGCTTCACGTATGAAGATCAAGAGTTTGTCGAGACCTTTATCGTCCTGGATCTGGACGATAAGTTTGACATTGTATTGGGTATGCCGTGGCTTGCACGGCATGATCCGGTCATCGATTGGGAGAAGAGCACTCTCGTGCGCTTCGGTCGCGACAGCGGAACAGTGAGCGATGGCCCTGTTGTCACTACGCACGCACCGACAAGTGCGCGCGACTCCCCACTCGAGACAGCGCCTTATCCCACTGTCCCGGAGCGCCCTGGACGCGCGCGAGCACACGCGCAAGAACAGCTAGCGTCGGCGTTGCCGCCGACAGCTAATGAAGGAAATTTGTTGACCTCGGAGGCCGACACACGCTTTCAGCGAATCAGGAAGAGTCTCCCGCCCCGAAGGGCGGTGATGACGCAGGCAAGTCACACGCCTCAGCCGTGGAGGCTGACTCGAATCAGATTGGATCAGGTCTGGCCAATAACAAGAGCCAAGGTGACGTAACGCCGTCGACTCCGGGAGTCGATGGCTTGGGTGAATTTGATTTGTCTGCTCCGGGAGCCGACGCACCCTCTGTAATGGGGGACTCCGCCAATGGTTGGTGTCGAGGTATTGAAGTCGCATCGACTCCAGGAGTCGATAGCTTGGACGAGTTTGATTCGTCGGCTCGGGGAGCCGACGCACCCTCCGTAGTGGAGGGCTCCGCCAATAGCAGGCGTCGAGGTAAGGATGGCGTGTCGGCTCCGGGAGCCGACGCTGCAGGCGGTGCGGACGGTTGCAAACGTCCCGCACCGGAAAAACTTGCATGCTGTCGTGCAGCCGGGCTGCACGACGAAGCGCCGGGCGACCAAGCCGGGCTTGAAGTCGGTCGCCCGCGGGATGAACCCGCCGGCGGTACTGAAGAAGAACACCCGTCCACGGCTGGACCTGGACGAGGTCAAGAACTAAGCGGAGCCGGGCTCCGCAAAACAAGAAGACGGCGCATGCGAAGGTCGCTGCGCAAGTCTCGGCCTGGGGCCGAGACGCTACAAGGAATGTCTGCCGGGCAGACGGAGGCTGAGAAGCCGGACGTCGAGACGTTGAACGTCTTGACCCGTACCTGTGCCGGGTTCCGGTACAGGGAGATGACTCTCGCTAACCCTCCGACGCAAGCGTCGGAGTTGACTTCGCTTCCAGTCATGAGCTGGAAGCGCCTCGCGCGTGACTTGCGCGATGGACGCATCGAGCAAATATGCATTCTCTCGGACGCCGAGAGAACGAAGAGCGAGAATGAAGAACTGAGGCACTTCTTCATGGAGACCACCACTGGGAGCGAGGACACTCTCTGTGAGTCCCTACTACGAGATCTTACGGGAGTACGCGGACGTACTTCCGGAAGAGATTCCTGCGGAGCTTCCGCAGGACAAGGGAATCCAGCACGAGATTGATCTTGTGCCGGGCACGAAGTACTGTGTCACGCGGCAGTGGCCACTGCCGCTAGAGCAGGTCAAAGCGATCGACGACTTCTTCGAAAGTCGTCGCAAAGCTGGACAAGTGCGGGAATCGAAATCCCCCCACAGTGCTCCGACGTTCTGTGTCAAGACGCCACAGGGCGGCTGGCGCATCGTTCATGCGTATAACAAGCTGAACGATGCGACGATACCGGCGCAGACGCCGATACCTCCAAAAGATGTTGTCATCGATTCGATGGTCAGGGGCACTATCTACAGTGCTCTTGATCTGCGCGATGGGTTCTATCAGATCCTCATGCGTGAGAGCGATATCCCTCTCATGGCTGTGAGCACGCCGAGCGGCATGCTCTGGGAGTGGCTAGTGATGCCGCAGGGTCCGAAGACCGCCCCTGCGACCTTCAACAGGTGCGTGACGCACTTGTTGCGCTAGGTGCGCGACTTCGCACCGAGCTACTTCGACGATGTGTTCGTCCACAGCCGGGCTGCGGACGGGATGAGCGATGTTGAGATGCACAAGGTTTATCTCCGGAAGCTGCTTGCGCTCATGCGCAAGCACAAGCTCTATGCGAACCTGAAGAAGTGTATCTTCGGGGCGAGCGAGATACTCGTGCTCGGGTGTCTCGTTGGGAAGAACGGTGTCCGCCCTGACCCTGAGAAGGTCAGAGTGATCAATGAGTGGCCGACGCCGTCGAACGTCAAGGAACTGCGGCAGTTCCTTGGCTTGGCCACGTACTTGTGCAAGTACGTGAAGGACTACGCGGGCATGATACGCCCGCTGTCACAGCTCCTGAAGAAGGACGCCGAGTGGGTTTGGACTGCTGAGTGTCAGCAGGCCTTCGATGCAGTCAAGCAGGGCTTGACTGGGGCGCCGATCTTGGCGGTGGCCGACCAAGATCTCCCGTTCCACATTGTGTGCGATGCTTCCGACTTCGCAATCGGATGCGTGTTGATGCAGCACGATCACGAGGGCCGTGATCGTGTCGTCTATTACCAATCGCGTCAGCTGAAGCCAGCTGAGCGACACTACCCGGGACATGACAAGGAGCTCCTTGCCATGAAGTACGCACTCGCGAAGTTCCGAGTGTATCTACTCGGAAGCAAACCGTTCGTGGTCTATACAGACCACGCGTCGCTGCGGACGGCTGTGAAGTCGCCGCACATCTCGCAACAGATGGCGAGATGGCTCTCATTCTTCGCAGAGTATAACTTCCGGGTTGAGTACAAACCCGGAAGACTCAATGTGGTGGCCGACGCGCTCTCGCGTCGACCTGACTACGCCACGACTGATGCCGACGTCGATGCCATTGACGCCATGCGATCGAGCACCCCAACGTCGTCACTGTTGGACGACGTGAAGGTCGCGTACGCGCACGATGCGTACGCGAAGCTCTTGCTGGCCTATGGCTCAGCGCCTTCTGACAAAGCTCGTCAGAAGCTGCCGAAGCATCTTCGTGCTCGTGCACACCGTTATCGGGTGCACGACGGGTTATTACTCTACAGTGCAGTCGACGACAACGCGGACCGCGTTGTCGTGCCCAATGACCATGCCCTGCGACTCAGGATCATGTATGAGTATCACGATGCACCGACTGCGGGGCATCCGGGCCGTGAGAAGACATACCTTCTTCTCATATGGGACTTCTACTGGGCCCACCAGTATAAATGGGTGCGCAAGTACGTCCGTGCTTGCGAGGTTTGTCAACGTATGAAGCCTGCGCCTTTCGCGCAGGCTCCCTTGGAGTCACTGCCGACTCCGCCGGAGTGTTGGCAGTCCATGTCTTTGGACTTCGTGTTCGGTCTTCCCCCGGACAGCCAGGAGAACACGGGCGTTGTGGTCTTTGTTGACCGCTTCAGCAAGATGGTACATCTTGCTGCGGTACCCGCTGAAGTGACTGCGAAGCAGACGGCGCGTCTGTTCATTGACATGGTGTTCAAACACCATGGCATGCGGATCGACATTGTGTCGGACCGAGACCCGCGCTTCACCGCACACCTTTGGCAAGAAGTGTTTACACTTCTAGGGAGTCAACTTTCAATGCCGACTGCGGACCGGCCACAGACGGACTGGCAGACCGAGCGCGTGAACCGCGTGCTTGTAGACGTGCTTAAGAGCTACGCTCACTCGTTCCAACACTGGAGCGAGTGCCTGCCGATGGCAGAGTTCGCCATCAACAACTCGGTGCATGCCTCGACCGGGCATACACCGTTCTACGTGAATGCCATCAGGCACCCACGCCTCCTGAGTCTACTCGGGATGGTGGCTCCTTCTTTAAGTGGGGGAGGGTCTACGACTGCAACGCAGCAGCCGCAGAATGCCGCTGACACTTGCACTGTGTCAGCCGCGACCACTCGCAAGAAGAACAAGAAGCACACGTCTGTGCAGGGCACAGACGCCGCCAAGAGCAAGAAGAACAAGAAGAACGGGTCTGTACAGGGCACAGACACCGCGAAGACGAACGCAGAGGCCAGGCCTACTGCTGGAAACGAGCTGAACGAGTTCAGCTCGGACGCAATCAACTTCGTGCAGCGCGGACAAGCCGTCATTCGGTTTGCCCAAGACGCTATTGCAGCTTCTGTTGATCGACAGAAGCTGAACGCAGACAACGACAAATGAATTCAAGAAGGTTCATTGGTTTTGTTAGCTACTCAAACCCTGCCTAACATGCAGTTTCCAACTTCGGGGCGAGCAAGCTCGCTCCGCGCTTTATCGGGCCATTCACGGTGTTGGCACGACATGGCATAGCCTACACGCTAGATATTCCATCTAGCATGCGCCTCCATCCGACCTTTTACGTCGGGCGGCTGAAGCCATACCGGCAGCACGAGCCACCTAGCTCGGCTGGCCCGAAGCGGAAGGCCCAGCGGGAGCGAACCTCTGCTCCAGCGCGTGAACGCGCTGGGCCAAGCGCGCGACGCGACCTCCCACGTCGACAGAGATGTCCGACGCGGTCTGCGAACCCTGAGCGACTTGAGCCCTCATGATCGCCCCCTCCTGCTTCAGAGCGGCGAACACCCGGCTCTGATGCTGCTCCACAGCAGCGACCCGCTCCTCGAGCGTCGGGCCAAGGTCAACCCCAGGTTGACCATACCCGGGGCGTGTTCCCACCACCACCGCTTCCGATGCGCGACGCCCGAGGCTCAACACGCTGGATTGTTGAGCGTATTGTGGACCATAGTATCCCGAAAACGAACCGGCAACCCGTTCGTTATCGTATTCGTTGGAGAGGGTTTCGGCCCCACCAAGATACATGGGAGCCGCGGGACGTCCTGCTGCAGGACATTCCGGAAATGGTGAGGGCGTACGAAGCTCAACACGCACTGCCGGCGCGTTGGTAGTGCGAGCGCTGCAGTCACCTGCAGCGCCCGAAGTCCCACGATTGTCGCGTTCCTCGCGTGCCAGGAACTTGGCACGGAGATCTTTGAGACAAACAGGTACACGAATTGTCGTGTACCCGTTTAGGTCGCGGTCGCTTAAGCGCGCCGTACCCGGAAGACCAATAATAATCGCGCCTTTGATTCGTTAACGGATCAAAGTGCTGCTCCTCCGCAACAGCATCGTCGTGGATACCGCTGCATACGTACACCGGGATTTCGTTTGGAGGCACGGTGTTGCCTACACGGTCTGCGATCTCTGACGTAGACGGCATCCACGGATCGCGCGCTGCTCCGGCAGCGCGCGGAGAGCTTGAATACGCCACTTCACGCGGGGAGTTTAAAGCCCCTGCAGCAGAGATCGGAGTGTCGCTCTCGCCGCGCGAACGCTTCGAGCTTGAAGCGTCCGAGTCGTCTCCTTCACGAGGGCGTCTCGACCCGGCATGCGGGTCGAGACTATTGCTGTCGATAGACTCCTTGCGCTTGCTAGAAGAGGCCTCGCCCTCTTCCATCTCCACGTCGTCGTCCCCGTAGTCAACAGCGTCGTTGACTACAGAGGAACCTTCGAGGACAATCTCCGGTTGAGTTGTCCCCGCCGCAGCCTTGGCAGCCAGAGCATCACGCTTTGCTTTGTGACGCTCGCGGTACTCGGGGATAGAGAGAGTCTCTATCGCGGCGGAGGTCTACCCCTCTGCTACAGTGTCGGTCTTCTTCGGCGAGCTCATTGCGGAATGAGCTCGAGTTTTCTTTCTCCCAACGTGAAGAATTGACGAATGGTCAATTTCCTGATTGACGTGCCGTGACTCGGCGCGTCTAACCTTGAGGGGGGATGGTGTAACAGGGTTACACGCACAAGTGGCTACAGTCACTTGTGACTCTAACAGACACGACGTCTGTCAGAGGTTCGAAAGACTTTCTCGACCTTGGTGTAGACACACCAAAGGCTACATACATTTACGATCACCACGACGGGTGGTCCATAGAGACTTAGGATTCCTATTGGCTGAAAGCAGCATCTTTTAGCCGATGAGCGACATGCATAGCATTGGAATTCTGCCAACCGGCCGTTGGCAGATTCCTAACTTAGAATATTACATTTAGAGGAAGTCAGAAACATAAAACAAAAATAGCAGTTCTCATTTTAACCCAAAAACATTATTTGGATCGTTTATTTAGATTAATCTATACTCGGAGGTCCGAGTATAATTAACTAGTTTAAACTAAGCTACGCTTCCTCATACACGTGCGCATACGTGTAAGCCGTAGTAGTGAGCCAAGGTAGACCCATTACAGTGGACGATGAGTTGCGGTGCGACAGCAAGCGTGTACATCAGCAGAGTCGCGTAAGACAGTCAGCAAAACCTATTGGTGCAATCTAGGAGAAGTGAAGCAACCGTAGCGCTTAAGCAAATGTACTGCCCTTATGAATGTTTGATGTGATTTTTTTTTCAAAGCAGCGCGACTGCTTTATTAGCAAATACCATAAACAGACGCCATGGTGGCGTGGTGAAGGACATTGGAGGAGGCAGGTGAGTGCTTGAGGAAAATTGAATTGACTCTATGCTGCGTCGGTATAGAATGGTTGATGCGCTAACAAGGGCGACCACTTAGATAATAGAGAGGTTTTTGATCAGTTATAGAACAACTATAGTGAAATCCATACAATTTCCTTTGCAGTTGAGGAATCCCGGGGCATATGGTCAGTTCGAGGGTTCATTTAGGGAGGTGCAACTGAAGTGTCTCCGATATTATGCGAAATCGTAATGGGAAATTGCAAATTGGTCACAGTTCGGTCGGATATTATTATAATACCAGAATCTCAAATCTGATTCAGAATAGTCGCCATAAAGGATGACGGACGCCAGCGCATTGGCTGCGCAAGAGCTTCGTTGCCAGCAGCTGCTACACCAAGGAACCGAGTCTGCACTGAGGCAGGCAGTGGATGGAGCTCACGCATGCCTAGCTGTGGATAAGACGCAGCTCCGCGGGTATTTGCTGCTCACCGAAGCTCTTTCGCGACTGGGCAGACACGAGGACGCTGTAACTTGGTACAAGAAAGGTCTGGAATATCTTGATATTTGTACGTCTACTTTCAACAGTTGTGTGCCTTACGTTCATGTGACGATTCTACCTTGGACAGGACTGGGGCTGCACCCCGATAGCGTTGAGCTACAGACGGGTCTAAAGGAGGCGCGAGTAGCAGTACTGAACGAATTACTAGAAGAAAGCGAGGAGGAAGAAGAAGGTTCAGAGGGCGAAGAGCATAGCTGCACAGATGAGACTTATTTAAAGACCCTGCCGGAGGCCCGGGTAGCTGATGAGAGCGAGTCGCTCAGGTCGACCGAAATTGTGCAGCGCGCACAGACCTACGCTTCGTCTGGTCTAAGCGAGGCTCTTGCTAACGATGGTGGTGAGAGTGCGGTGCAAGATGGTGGGGGAACGCAGACCACTTTGTTCCAAGCAAAGATGGAGCGTGTCCTGGAGCATCTTGACGTGCTCAAGCTGACGAGACTCGCAGCAGTGTACATTTTCTCGGAGCTGTTGAACCTGCGGCACGTGACACTTGGCATCGGCCTATTTTTCCTCGGTTTGCTAGCTCAAGCAATTATGCACCGGCAGAAGATTATGGTGATATCTATGCTGGTTGTATGTCTTTATCGCTCACAGCTGAAGAAGCGAGCAATGCGCTATGCTCGAGACTGGGTCGAGTCGTCGACAGACAAGTTGGGCGCGTTCACTTGGACCCCGCGGATTATCTTTGTGATTCCGGTGCTTATGAAAGTGTTTGGACAGCTCAAGTTCATGCTGTTCTTGCAGCAAGATGCTCGTTTGGCAGCGTCTGTGCTAACGGTAACTGCAGTTCTTGTTGCCAACTCGCTACGTCCGGACGCCAGCCAGCACGCTAAATTGTGGGGAGAAGGAAGGCGGTTGAAATTCGCTGCCTACTTCAGTGCGATCATCTACTGGGTGGCGTGGCGTGGCCAATGGGTCGACACTATCCGGCTGCTGGGGCCGGCGTTTATTGATGCTGGCGGGATTGTGCTGGGCTCGGTCTCGTCGGTAGAGCTGCAGGAAGTCTGTCGGCGTGCTTTCAAGAGACTTTACAGCGATGTGGCAGATGACATTCAAGCCGACGTTGATTTAGATGTGTGGTTCTTTCTGGGTCTGGGCAATTGGATCGTGGAGTATTGGCAACAACCGACGGATTTTTCGTTGGAAATGCTGTCGAAGATGCTGTCCGAGTGTTTCGACTCCATGGAGAAAGCTGCTTTGCGAACGTTCAGTCCTGAGCTGCGTCACTTGCGAAGCCAACTCACCAATATGGAAATTACCGACGAACTACAGTTACTGATCGCTTATCTGAAGAAGAACATCGAAGCAGTCCCACCCCCAAAGACGTTCGGCACTGCAGCTCTATTTGCCAAGCGCTGTCCGTCGTTTGTGGTGCTCATCATTCTCATTGTTTTCTTCGGCGTAATTTCGCTGCCGCTGCTGCCATTTGCTGCCTCCGAGTACCATGATGCTAGAGATCTGTACAACCGCTATCGCGGTGGAAAACTTGAGGAAATGGACGGACTGGAGCTGATGCTGTCGGGGTCGCCACTGTTGCGCGTCTGGAAGAACATCAAGGGCTGCATTTACTGCCTAGAAGGAAGCGTCACGTTTTCCAAGGCCGTCGAGACTGGAACTCATTTGGTGTCTGCTGCTGCTCGAGTCAGGTACGGTCTGTTGACGCTGCTACTTTGATGCTTAGTATCTTTATCTCTGCGTTACGCAAATCTGCAGTCGTTTGGCGGTATTCGCATCGCGCGTAAAGAAAGAGGGTGTTTTTGCCAACGCTCAGGACATCCCAGATCATCTCGCAAACGCTTTTCTCGTGGCTAAGGACTCAAGGTTTGGCGTGAATGCTCAACCAATCTTACATGGTTAACCCTGCACTACTGACACTACGTATTTTTGCTGTCTGTAGTTTAATTATCGATGGCGTGCGTTACCTCCGTGAGAGTGCTCACTTCCAGGATCTTCAGGACTCGATCGCTAACTGGTGGCGAGGAGATGCCAATGATATCGGCACAGCGAGTCAAGAAGAAACTAGCTAATTGTTAAGAAAATCAATGCAATGTTTAGTTAGAAACATGTATTCAAGTCGAGAAATATCATTTCTATGTATGTACGGGAGGTGCGTGGGGCGGAGAGGGCAAGACCACCATGAAATACGTCTATGGTTGCGTCCCCAGCAACTGCTGCTTGCTCGTCTAGCTGCCACTCTTATGCTTTTGTCTTCGGGTTTCGTCTTGCCGGCAGCCGTCACTGGAGATAAGGCACATTGAACTAGTTGAAACGACGCTTCTGGTTGAAGCGCTTCATCTCCAGGATAGCAGACGAAAGCGGCTGCTCGCTGTACTCGCCCTTTATCCAGGGGTGGTTAAGCGCCTGCGCTGCGCTGAAGCGATCCTGCGGTGACACGTTGAGCAGGTTGCGGATCAAATCCTTGGCTGTTTATGACAAGCACGTGAACGTGAGATAGACGCCCACGTATTCAAACAAGAGAAGGTGAACGTACCTCCATCCGATACATTTGTCCAGTAAGGGTGCGGGAAGTCGAGCGCGCCCGAGCGGATTTTAAGATACACTGACTCCAACCCATTCTCATCTTCCGTAAACGGAGGGAATCCGCACAGCCTGAAGGGCACAAATTCGTTTAAGTGATCAACAACCACAAGCATGTGCACAGCGCCTTAGAGCTTACATGATGTACAAGACAACTCCGAGACTCCACAGGTCCACCTTGCTGTCATAGCCTTCTCCATTAAGTACCTCGGGTGCTGCTCATTCACAAAAAGAGAAAACCACCGGAACGTCAGCAACCACCCTCACAATATAACCAACCACGTCGCAGCCGTGCTCTTCACTCACCAACATAGTAGTCCGTCCCGCAGCTTGTGTATGCGCGCCCACGAGAGCGTGCGCCTTCGTCCTCATCCTCAAGGATCTTGGCGATGCCGAAGTCGCTCAACTTGACGTCGCTGCTGTCGCCACTGGCGAGTAGAATGTTCTCTGGCTTGATGTCGCGATGTAAGATGTGGCACGAGTGCAGGTAGTTGAGTGCCTGCAGCACGTTGGTGACGATCTCGGCCGCCTGCCGCTCCGAGTACACGCCGACGCGCACGATGCGGTCGAACAGCTCGCCGCCAGTGACTCTACACAGCAGCAAGTAAGAGAGAGAAAGAAGGAGAGAACAGTCAGCTTCCATATCTCTATCTCCTTCTCTAGCAGGCACTCGAGAGGGACGCACCTCTCCATGACGAGCAGCAGCTCCTGGTCGCTCTCGTAGACCTCCTCGAGGCTGATGATGTTGGCGTGCTTGACCCGCAGCAGCACCGTGATCTCGTCGCGCAGCGTCTTCTTCTTGACGCACAGCGCCTTGTTGATGACCTTGACGGCGAAGATCTGCTGCGTCTCCTTCCGCCGGCAGAGGTACACGAGCGAGAAGGCGCCGCGGCCGATGAGGTCGCCCACGTCGTACAGCGAGTGGAACATGGCCACGCCGTGCACGTCCGTGAGTCCCTGCGTCACGAGGTGGTCCTCCTCCTTGCGGAAGAAGGCCGAGAGCGGGGGAGCTACTCACACACACACACACACACACACACACACACACACAGGCACAGACACACAGACACACAGGAACATCAGCATACACAGCGAGACGCCCATTAACCAGAGCCGACCGACCCCTAAAACGGACCTTTAAACGCCGCCATGGAGGGCTAAGAAGGGCGAGGGGCGATTAGAGTTGGCTGGGGCTTGGCTGTCTAGAACAAAGTGGGAAGGCTTTGGCTTCCTTCCTCCTCCGCTGCTCTCTTTCTCTCTGCGTGTGCGTGTGTGTGTCTCTTGAGCGACGAGAGGGCGACGCGTTAGGCGCAGGCGGAGGCGCGCTGAGTGCGATGCGAGTGCGAGTGCGGTGGAGTCTTTGGTGTCGTCGGGCCGAGGCTCTCGGGGCGAATCTGACTGCGAGTCGACGAGGCGTCTTTCTTCCTGTGGGCGAAATGCATGGGGCTTGTTCTCTGGCACCCGAGTCGGACTTAGGCGGGGCGGACGCGCCCGCGGCCATTGGCTGAAATTTTGATTCGCAACGATTCAGACGGGCCCGCACATGGCACCAGCGCTTGGGCACTCTGCGGCATGCGATGTCTGTCCCACAAGCAGCCTGCGCGCACAACCTCCAAGCTCTGGGCCATACGAACTCGAGCCTCAAGCAGCGGCAGCTAGCAACACGGGGGAAACCACCTGCGATCGGGGCTGTGGAAGCATTTATTAACGTGTTGCCTGCCTGGCGAAATGTTCGTCTCCCCCTACGCCAAGTTTTGACGCGCGTCGCAATGCGCGACCGTCAACTTCAAGTCCGCGTTGCAGTGCTCCGCCAGCACGCTTGAGCCTCCCGAGCCCCACATCGAAATGTGTCGCCGCCCTCGCATCCCGCTCCTCCTCCGCATCGCAGGCGGCTCAGTGCATGCCGTGCGTGATGGTGATCAACACCACCGAGACGAGCGAGAAGCCCAGCACCATGTACAGCCACGCCTGGTGCGCGAACGGGCTCGCGAAGCGGTTCTTGTTGCCGCGCGCCGCCGGCGTGCCCGGGCGCGTCACGGCCACCTCCATCGGGTGCATCTGCTTCCACTCCGCCGCTAGCCGACGACGCAGGCAGAAGACCAGGAACGTAGGGACGATCCACTGCAAGACCCGCCAAAGCGTCAAGGCACGTCGCGCAGTTGTAAGTGCGTGCCCGCCCTGAGAAAACACGCAAAGCCACGAACACGTACCTGGATGCCCAAACCGGCGTACGCACCCGTGAAGCCCACCAGCATGGACACATCCTCGGTAAAGAACGCCACCACGAGCGGCGGTAGAAGCGCCACGAGCGCGTACATGTTGCTTTCCAGAAAGCCGTACAGCCCCGTTGAAGGGGTCGCGTCGCTCGTTGGTGTCGATTCGATCATACTGGACGCCAAGTGGCGGATGTTCTCGCGGAGAGTGATGCAGATAAGCGGGAAGCTCGCACTGCGCGCATTGAAAAGCAAAGCCATTGCACACCAATTAGCATAGCGTTTCGGCGTGGATTGCTGTGTGGATAGGACGAGCAAGCACCACCTCCACCCACCTCAGCGTGAATACTGGGAACAAACTCAAAAAGTATCCAAACGCGTGCACCGGGTAATCCTTGAAGTTTAGGGTGTACACATCCTAGGCAAAATATTTGACAATGTTAACCACGCCGCGATTACGAAAACGGTAACAACATTGTAACTGCGTCCAAATTACCTCGACATCTTCCGGCAAAAAGCGGAAGGTCGCCGACGCGCAGAGGACAAAGTAGACGCTGAGGACCGCCTACAAGTGGACACACGACAACAAAACGTGGACATCATCGCAAAAAATTTAATATCACAGAGAAAGAGGCGGTGGCGGCGGAGAACGTACCATAAAGGCCGAGGCGAGGACAACGCCAACTTTAGATTTGTCCGTAATGGGCGCCACGAGACCAGGAACACTGCAACGCACGCGACAAAGCAGGTTAGTTAGCACTTTTCCATACGGTGAGCTGCCAGAGTTGTGTGCGTACCTGTGGTGGCACATGAAGGAATAGATGCACACGCCGAAAAACGTCGCGACGTTGGCGGGCTTCTCGTAGCTGACGACGTCCGCCACGCTTCGTCCGTGGCCTCGGGCGATGCCGATGATGGCCAGCACGATCATCAGTCCAAAAGACGCGTGGCGGATTACAGTTGAAACGAGCTGAAGTGTCCGCGTCTTGTGGACGTGGCCAAACGTGAACGGCCCGAGGAGCAGGCCAAAGAGCACCACGAACAGGCGGTACAAGTCCGAGCTGTTGAACTTGTCAGAGCACTCCCACACAATTGCGTCGGCAGAAGGACGCGGGCAGATGATCTCACGCAGCGACTTGGGCACAGCTGCATCGATCCACACCTCACTAGTTAGTTTCACTCCATGTGATAAGAGTACCTTGTCAATGCAGCTAGAGCCAACATACCGACAGCGTAGATAGCCAAGTCACCGTAAAGGTACACGGTGATGCACGCGTAGAACGCCACGATTCCTCGGTGGTTGAAGAGCAGCTCTGCCATCTCAGCCAGCTCCATCTACACGGCGTATCAGTGAGCAGCTAAGCGTACACGACAATAACAAGCCCCTCCATTTGACTCAAGCTCGCACCTTCTTGGACAGGTCAAAGTGGAACCTCGCCTCGGTGCTCTTCGTCCGCAGTTTCTTCTCCAGTGCGTCTTGCTTCTGCAAAAGGCCAACACAAAAGAAAGCACAAGATCGTGACGAAGTCGTCCACATCAGGTCTGCTGCTCTAGGAAAGCTCGAAACCGCGCAATAGTACTTCGTTTGCGACCATTAGCGGCACAAACTCCGTGTGCGCGTCGCCGTCGCCGTCGTCGCTGTCGCTGAGCTCGTCCATTGGCCGCTTCTCGTCCCCGTTGCTGGCGTGCAGCCCGAGCTCCCGCGCGCGCCGCTTGAGCGCGTTGACGCCCGCGATGGCCTCGATCATGAAGGTGGCCGTCACGTAGCTGACTGAGGCCAGGGTGGACAGCGCAACGGAGCCGTAGATGAGTCCCACCTGCCGACACGAACCCAATAGCGTTGGTTTAACTAACAGTAATACATCTCAAGTTGTAATAAAGTAGCTCCTCGTCCTCCTCCTTGTCGTCGCTTACATTGGCGAAGGCGTGCGGGATCGTGAGCGCGCCGGCGCCTACGATGAGGTTGAAGATGAAGACGAAGCCCGTGAGGGGCGAGTAGCTGCCGATGCTCGGCCCGCCGCCCGCCATGCTCGATACTGTGCTGGCTCGGGATCAGGAGATCGAGGTAGAGAATGCAATGCTGCAATTACTACTGTACCGCTGGGTAATAGATCGCACTTAAGTGCGACTAAGTACGACCAAGGTTTGAGGGTCGGTCTGTGTGTCTCATGGAGGTGCTGCGAGCTCGCTTCCTGCTCACCTGCGGCCACTTGGTGGCCACGTGCTTGACTGGGCTCGAGGTGAGAACTGCACCTGCAATGCGGTGCTTCAGCTCTTCAGATGATACTGGGTTCTGACGGAATTTGGTGGCTTGAAGGCGGCCGGCATTGTGGCGTACCTGTCCTTTGCCGCGGCGATCGGGAGCCTCTTCGCTGGCCTCGACGTCTTCTCGCCGACGGTACGGTACATGATGTCTATAAGCTCAGTCTTGTGATGTGCTGCTTAGCCAGTCTTTTGTTTGAATGACGCAGAAGAATGCCGTGCACATCTTCTGTCACTTCGTGGGAGGAGTGCTGGTGTGTCAAGGGATCCTGCACGACCTGGACCCGTCCCGGTATCTGTGGTAAGGCTGGGCTGGCACCTCGTTTGATGGGCCATGGTACTAAGGGTTGTTTCTCCCTTCAGGTACGCGGTGATGCTGGCTCACGTGCCCAGCTCATTGTGCACACTAGACACCATTGGTCAGCTCTTCCTGCTCAAAACTGCTCGGCAGTCTTATTGAGCTGCACGGAGGGCAAAGTGCCAGATGAATTGAGCTAGCGGCATATGACTAAGTGTTATTATAAAAAAAGAGCAATACTTCACACTACTGCGAGGCGTCTGTATCCCTTCAATTCGGTGTCTCCTGTGAGCTCAGTCAAGTGCGAGTTGCTTAGGCGTTGTTCTTCTTCATCAGGTTCAGCGCACTGCCGTTCTGGAACCAGGCGATCTGCTCCTCGTTGAACGTGTGGTTCACAGTGATGTCAAACGGAGCCTCGCCCGAGGCGGGGGTCACACGCAGAGTCAGGGGCTTGCCAGGCGTGAAGGTCTTCAGGCCCACGATGGCCACCTTGTCGTTGCCAGTGATCTTGTCGTAGTCCGCCGGGTTCGCGAACGTCAGCGGCAGCATACCCTGCTTCTTCAGGTTGGTCTCGTGAATACGCGCGAACGACTTCACGATCACAGCACGGCCGCCAAGGTGACGCGGCTCCAGAGCGGCGTGCTCGCGAGAGCTGCCCTCACCGTAGTTCTCGTCCCCGATCACAACCCAGCTGACGCCGTCAGCCTTGTACTCGCGAGCCACGTCGGGCACCTTGCCGAACTTGCCCGTGAACTGGTTCTTCACGCTGTTGGTCTCGCCCGTCTCGGCGTTCTCAGCACCGATCAGCAGGTTGTTCGAGATGTTGTCCAGGTGGCCACGGTACTTGAGCCACGGGCCGGCCATACTGATGTGGTCGGTGGTGCACTTGCCCTTGGCCTTGATCAGCACCGGCATGTCCGTGAAGTCCTCGCCGTTCCACTCGTCGAACGCAGACAGCAGGGCCAGACGCTCGCTCTTGGGGTCGACGTTCACGGTCAGACCCTCGCCGCTAGCAGGCGGGGCCTGGAAGGTCTCCTCACCGGGGTCGAAGCCACGCGGGGGCAGCTCCTTGCCGAACGGGGCGGCGAACTTGAACTCCTTTCCGTCTGCGGTCTTGATCGTGTCCTTAGCAGGGTCGAACGTGGTCGTGCCGGCAATGGCGCTCACGGTGACCATCTCCGGGGAAGTCACGAAGCTGTGCGTGGCCGGGTTGCCGTCAGCACGCTTGGCGAAGTTACGGTTGTACGACGTGAAGATCGAGTTCTTCTGGCCCATGGGCATGTCGGTACGGTTCCACTGGCCAATGCACGGGCCGCAAGCGTTGGCAAGCACCGTAGCACCAGACTCGAGGAACGTGTCGAGGATGCCGTCGCGGGCAATGGTGGCGCGCACCTGCTCCGAACCGGGCGTCACGTAGTACGGCACCTTGAACTTGAGGCCGGCCTCCATGGCCTGCTTGGCCAGGTCAGCGCAACGGGTCATGTCCTCGTAACTGGAGTTCGTGCACGAACCGATCAGACCAGCGCTCAGCTCCGTGGGCCAGCCATTCTTCTCGCAGGCCTCCTTCATGTCGGCACCGGCAACGTGGCCAAGGTCGGGCGTGAACGGACCGTTCAGCATCGGCTTCAGCTCGTCGAGGTTGATCTCAATGATCTGGTCGTAGTGAGCACCCTCGTCAGCACGCAGGTTGGCCTTGAACGACTCGGCAGCCGAGGCAATGCCGCTACGCTTGGTGGAGCGCAGGTAGTCGCCCATGCGCTCCGTGTAGGGGAACGTCGAGCACGTGGCACCGATCTCAGCACCCATGTTACAGATCGTGCCCATGCCCGTGCACGAGATGGACTCGACACCGGGGCCGAAGTACTCCACAATGGCACCAGTTCCGCCCTTGACGGTCAGGATGTCAGCCACCTTAAGGATCACGTCCTTGGGCGACGTCCAGCCCGAGAGCTTGCCCGTGAGGTTCACACCGATGACCTTGGGGGCCTTGAGCTCCCAGGCCATGCCGGCCATCACGTCGACGGCGTCAGCACCGCCAACACCGACGGCGCACATGCCCAGACCACCGGCGTTGGGGGTGTGCGAGTCCGTACCGATCATGAGACCACCGGGGAAGGCGTAGTTCTCCAGCACGATCTGGTGGATGATACCGCTGCCGGGCTTCCAGAAGCCCATGCCGAACTTGGCACCGGCCGACGACAGGAAGTCGTAGACCTCCTTGTTGACGATCTTGGCGTTGTTCAGGTCCGTGTCCGAGCCCTTCTCGGCCGTGATCAAGTGGTCACAGTGGATGGTCGTGGGCACGGCCGTCTTGGGCAGACCCGACGAGATGAACTGCAGCACGGCCATCTGGGCCGTGGCGTCCTGCATGGCCACGCGGTCCGGGCGCAGCTTGAGGTAGGTCTCGCCGCGCTTGGCCTTGGTGGTGGCGTCGTCCAAGTGGCCGTAGATGATCTTCTCGGCGAGCGTCAGGGGCTTGTTGCCGTTGGTCTTGCGCACCGTGTAGAGGTTCTTCTCCATCTTCTCGTACGTCTGGTCGATGGTGGGGCTGCCCTTGGGGTCCAGCACGGACAGGGGCACGGGCACGCCGCAGCTAGACGACATGCTGGCCTGTATGAAGAGAGGGGGGGGAGGGGGGGCAGCATGGGGCACACGTGAGCTTACTGAGCCTTCAAGATGCGTTAAACATGCAGGGGCTGGCGGCATGCACCGTCTAGACACTGAAGCGGGCGACGCACCTTCATGGCGCTGGAGCGCAGCTGCTGCCGCGCGGCGCGCGCGGTCGAGGAGACGGCGTACATGGTACGGGGGCGAGTGGGCGTTCGGCGTCCGTTTCCGCTGGAGAGGAGATCCCGAAATGCCAACGTGGGCGAGCCGGGTGGTCCAGACCGATCCCCCTTCCAGGGCAACAAGGACGGCTCACCCGTAAATTACGGAACCCCGGGAAGATAAAAATAAATGACTGCCCATCTCACTACACCTCGCTTCAGTATGCGCAGCAGACGTCGCCCAGCCTGCGGCGCCTTCACGCTACTTCTCTCGCCGCGGCGTGTCCAATCAGCAGCTGCAGCATCAGAAGTAATCATGAAGTAAGCTCTAAGTAACACGTCGGCCGCTCAATCTCAGCCGCACATGAGTCGCGCCTTGATGCCGCAGGCGTTTAACGGGCGGTAAAAGGGGCTGTTCGAGCTTCGTTCTGGTGGTCTACCTGGCCGCCCCACCCCGCCCGCTGGGCTTGCGTTTGCAGCTAAATGCGACGCGGCTTGCGCTTCCAGCAAGAGGTGCACTTCTTGCCGGATTGGCGTGTTGCGTCTCGCGCATTGCGCCCGCCACAGGCAGCTCGATTGCATGCGTTTCACGCCCATGCTGGTGGTGACCGACCGCTACGCGGGCGTCACCACAACAGATAAGCTGCGGGCGATAGAGTCGACGCAAACTGAAGCGCAATGCCATATGCTGTAATTTATTCGCGTTTCCATTGGCTTCTTGAAGTCACGTGCTCTAGACTAGAACTTTGTCGCAACTGCCCTGGGCGCAACTGGCTTCATAGTCTCCAGATTTGCCTGGAATCCGCTTCAACCTGAACCCTGCTGCAAGTACGTCAGCTTTGTCGGATGTGTATCGAGCTGATGTACCAGAGCGGATTGATCAACTTGGCCGGCGGCGCACACCTCCACGACCCGAGAGGATCGGCGGCTTCATCCAAGCCCCGAGCTGATGTATTCAGAGATCGGTGGGTGGCTACTGCAGACTCGCAGTGGTTGAGGCGGTTGGAGCACGCAGCGGGAAGCAGCAGCGTCGCAGCTCGAGAGCGCGAGCCAGATCGACGGCTTCGCGCCCGCTAGAACCCAGCTGGAAGGATGTCTGCGATGGCCCGGAGATGCGATTGCACAGCGCTCCGGTAACCACCGTACCCGTTGAAGCGGCTAAGATGCGAGGTGCTGGACGTCGGATGGAGAGGGCTGTGCGCCCTTCAAGGACATGGCTGATGAAGGTTGCGGTACGTTAAATGGAGGCTGTCGGCGCGCGTTGCAGGCAATGTCGGCGGATATCCAAGACCACATCTCGCCGGGAGCTTCCAGCCTTGTTCGAGAGACCTGCCTGGTCTTCTTCACGTTACGGCTGGAAGACCGTTCTCTATCGCGCCCAATTTCTTCGTAATCAAGCCTAGCGCGTACAAGAAGCAAACACGAGGCAATCGAGGCTCGTGGGTCAATTGGCTGGCTGGAAGAAGACTCAAGCGCGCCGATTTTTCTCGCGGCAGCCTTCCCTTCAGTTCGCTTGCCAATCGGCCACAGTCGGTGGGCGCTCGGCGTCAGCTGCATTTGCTTTTGTGAGGCAATGGTTGCTACAACGCCACCCAAGACCGTCGTGCAGCGGGGCGGCTGAAGACACCGTCTAGCGGGGCGTTTTGAGAGGCCCAAGTGGATCGCCGTCTACGCAGTGCACCAGTTTCGCACGAGGCTCTCTACTTCGCAGGAGGAAGCCCAGCACAGTGCTCTTGAGAGCACGGTACCGTACATGCAGAGCATACGTGACCGGACTGGGCCGAGTGCACGTTAATATGGTAGCTAGTATCTACTTGTATATGTAAAGCGAGTAGATGTGATGAATCGATCGACGCCCGTTTGCTTCAAAACAGTATTCACGCACGAACTAGCAGTAAATAAACACGAGGTACTAGCTGTGGTGGTGCGTGTGCGATCCGACTGCAGTGTGCCTTGGGGCACGATGTAGTACGGGTTGGAGCACGAGAAGCCGGCGCTCTCCAGCAGGTGCAAGACGTCGCGTTTGGTAGAGGAAGAACTCGTCTTTCTTGACGCCAATGATGCATCACAGCGCCGCCTCCGCGTCGTTCACAGGCAGGCGGTCGTCACTGTTGACGAAGATGATCTCGACGTAGGCTCATGACGTGCTTGCCCGAGCACTCGTGCAGTAGCGCTCGCCGGACCTCAGGCTGCAGGTTGGCGAAGCGAGACGTAAGCAGCCCGAAGCTGATGGCGTCGAGGAATTTGGTCCGATCACCACGTTGTGCTGCTAGTTGACAGTGGTGACAGCATCGATGACGTTTTTTTTACCCCATTATGTTAGCACATGAATCGATTCCTTTGAGTCTCCTGAGTCTATTTATGGTGTTTCCGTCGCCTTTTATCGAGCTGTTGTCAAGAAAATGTGCTCAACGCATCGGGCAATTTAAGCCTGATGTTTGTATGAAAACATAAAAACCTCTATAATAACATATATGATGATAAACCAAATTATAGATGTTATTGGTAAATACGGTTGAAATGCTGCACCCTCATTGGCTTAGAAGGAACATAGGGTAAGGGGCAAAATAGTCCTTCGACAAACGGCGCTCGTTTTTAGCGCTGTTTCCTGTGTTTTTGTGCATACCATACGGAGGGAAAACCAAAGCTCTCCAGAAATTTGGAGCAGAAACGCACAAAAACTCGAAAAGTTACAACAAAAAACGTCATCGATGCTGTCGACCACTGTGAAGGGCTCTGATCCTTGTAGCTGCGGAACCCGCACATATTCGCATGGCTAGAGACAGAGGCGGAGCCAGCCAAAAAAAACAGGGGGGTATACCAAAAACATGGGGGCAAAGGAATTGCCAACGCTGTAGTGCAAGCGGAGCGGCAGCCAGGAAGGCAACAATCAGCCACGGTGTTGTCTTTTGGTCGGCGATAAACAGGTATCTTGAAACTGGGCAATTTGGGGTACTATAAAACCTCTAATTGTGCCCCACCCTCAATTAGTACCCCGCCCTCTAATAGTAACCCACTCTCCACTAAGAAATTATACAGTACCCCTAACCCGAGTACTTGGCATTATTGGCAGCGTGAAGTTTCTTGTTGCCGGTCTAGGGTGCTGTATGCGTTGTGTGTTGGGATGCCACATTTTCTATTATTATAGTTACCATCCGCACACCTACATGTAACTTTAATTTAAATAAGTGATTAGGATGTAAAACAAGGATGGAAGCTGATTTTGGAAAGAATTTTAAATGGATTTTTTTAGCTATAAGTTGTTGATCGACAATTTTAGGTGGGGGTATTTAACTGAACACTTGGCTTTTCGCTAGTACCCCATCATCAAATAGTACCCCACCCCCCTTGTGTGAGTGGGGTACCCCAGGGGCACAATTAGAGATTTTACAGTATTTCGGAATCCTATCTAAAAAATGCCCAATATACCGGGGCAATCAAAAACTACAATAAATATTGTAATCGGCACCCCAAATGTCTAATCGGATAGTAAATCAGTCGAGATTTCGGCTAATTTAGACTTCAGAGTCTTATTTATTTCGACTGATCTTCTAATTAGATTCCCTGTTTCTATTTTAGACTAGGAATTATCTTGGCGGTTAACAAGCAGGTTCATGTGCTTAATCCGAATCGCAACAGATTTGTTTGTAAATAAGGCGGAATGTCACCGTGCAAGTTGGTATTCTGAGCTATTTGAGCTAAATATTTATGCTCTGTACGTGTTGATGCAAGCCGCCAGCTTCGCAGCGTAACACATGTAAGGCCTCAAAGCATATAGAGATAGTGCACATGGTAAACATATGATAGCATCCTAATTGGCATGGATAACACACGCAGGGATCTGGCTTGGGCTCAAAGGGCCAAACACTTAAAAGCGTGACGGACGATCGCCACGTTTTCGGAACGCCTCAAAAGAAAGAAGAACGCCACACACAGCAAAGAGCTGTGAACGTTCGTGCCCCCCCCCCTCTGAACCCCCCGAACGTTCGCGGGGGCGTTTAGACCGCTGAACGTCCCTTGAACACCCTGTGAACACCCCAATATTTACACTTGAAAATTCTATTGCTAAAGTGAAGTGGATTACACTGACGTTTTGGCATGTCGTGGGCACACGCGAGGGAGAAGCTCGACTCGCTGCAGGAAGAGCGGACCGATGCCGAATCGCTGGAGCATCGCATTGCGCTCCCCACGACCGACCTGAACGCGGCGCACACGCTGCCAGACGTACATAGGTAGCTACAGTGCAAGATAAGCGCGGAGGAGCGGGCGCGAGCAGAAGGCGGTTCTCGCGGGGGGGCATTCAGAGGCACACGTCGGTGCCAAAAGCTGTAGGACGCCATGCACAAGAAGTTGAAAACCGCGTGTGTGCTGGATACCCAGGGACTTGGTGCCTGCTACAGCTCGACTCGACATAATAGGCAGCTTCTGGCTGGGCAAGACTGGCTCCAGCAACGACGCGTTCGCGCTCAAGACGCGCACAGATCAACCCGTGAACGGCAGCTACTTCTTTCTCACGGCTACCGACGTTCTAGAAGCGTGTTGACGCCCTGATGAAGGCACTAAAACACCACCTTCCGGAGGGAGCGACGTTCGAGGTTCCGAGGGAGGCAGCATCGTGCAGGTGCGCCTGCCGGAGGGGATGAGCGCCACGACCTGCTGCCGATCATCCAAAAGCACGTCATGTTCGTCCTTGGGTCCTCGCTCAGCGGCAACATGACGAGCTTGCTGCGTCTGAGCTTCTCGTGGTACGACTTCCTAAACATGCAGCCCGGTGCTCTTCGTCTGTCGGACGCCATTCGCGGGTACCAAGAGGTGTTCGCTGCCCAGTACAAGCCCGCCGCCGCCACGTCCGCGGCCAGCGTGCGCATTGTTGCCGTCCATGACCTCGACGGCTGCCTCGGCTTGCTCATCGTTGCTGAGCTGACCAAGCTCACGTTGCAAGCACCAGGTTCGGCGGCCCCATCGTGACCCGCCTCAAGTCCGGCGCCCAGGCCTAGGACCGCAACAACCTGGACGTCGTCATGGACGTGACGCTGCACGCAGAGAAGGCGATCTTGTACCTGCGCGAGCAGAAGGACGCCGGTAAGATCAGCAAGCTGTCGGCTCTGATGTCGTCACCACTGGTGCTCACGACGCTGGCCTGTGGCCCTCCCGTCTAACTTATTGGTGAATGTACCGCTTGCTGTTCAGGGCAGTCGGCGATGTCGTACATGAAGCCCGTATGCTTCCTGCAACTGGCGATGAAGCTGCATCAAGGTAACACAGGCATGCTGAGCGACGTCATGCCCCTGCCGATGGCAAGCAAGGCAGAATTGATATGAATGAATGATCAGAACGTTTATTGGCTAACATGTATTATATGCAATCGAAAAACTACTCAAACGACTCACAGCAGCAAGAAGCTTACAGATTTTCAGCCCTTCCGTTGCTTGCTATAAACACCGGATCGCTTACCAGTGAAGGGGCGAGGGCAGTCAAGATGTTTCCACTCGTCGAGAGAGCTCGCTCCGAGGGCACACTCGTTGCCACGGCCCCCCGCCGCTTCCTAGCAAGCCGACTTAAAATGGGGATACTTGGAAGCGTTGATGCGCCACCACAAGAGCGGGTCGTCTGTGCTTCGGACGGTCTTGATATCGCTCAAATACAACGTGAACTCGTCGGCACATTCTTTGTCGATATCAGATCGTTGTCGAGGAACCTCATCCGGCCCGAACAGATCATCCATGAAGCTGCCTGCAGCCTGCGTTGTATAAAAAGATGTCTGAAGCGCACCCTGGATTAGAGTCTGGTGACTGAGCCTCCCTCCGCTTTTTGAGCCAGTTCACGTGCCGCTGCGAGGAGCCCATTGACCGCACCTTGACTGTCAGTAGCGCTAAGGTGTGACATTCGCTTTCCAACGCAAGGGTCAAGATAAGCAACCCACACGAGCTCGCACTGTTCCAATTCGGAGAAGCGCTCATTGAATAGCTTCAGAATCATCGTTCGGCACTCGTTCATCATCACCTCCGGCTCCGCTACGTACGGCTTCTCACCCGCCACGGCCACGTGCGCTGCAAACAAGTCCTTCCGTGAGAAGTGCTTGCGGACTATACAGCGTCGGACCCACCAAATGCAGAGTAGGATACTGTTGTACGCTGAGCGCAGTTGTAGCAGCAGCAAACGGCGCCAATAGAGTTGATAAGCACTTGATCGTCAGCCATTCCGACGCGTTAGGGCGTCGCAGCTTTGAATCCATCCCTTCAAACTCCTTGCGACCTGCGGGGCCTTTCAAATGCACAAAGAAAGAAATTAACAAGACTTTGCTCGAGAACGACCAAACGCTGCAACATATCCCAGCAACTATTCCATCCCGTCGGACAGTCCACTTGCACACGAAGAACCTCGCTTGGCTTGATTCCACGGGCCCTAACCTGGCGCGCACCAAGTCGATTTTGACCTTTTGGAGATTTTCTGAAGTAGCTTGACAGCATAAGAAACTGCTGAACTACCCCACGCACAGCATCTAGTTCATCGCGCTCGAGACTCAAAAGTGCAGAGTCCAGATATTCGTCCATTTCGTCGCAAGCAAGGTCGCGAAGAGCTTCCATATCTTCGCGCTCTTCAATTGAGAGCTGTTCATCTTCGTGGTGCTTTGGAATAGGCTCGGCACTTTCACTGGCCACCTGCCCCGCCCACGCCGGGGTTTCCACTGACTCGTCCGCCGACGTGTCCGCCGACGTGCCCGCCGACTTGCCTGCTGGCTTGTTCGCCTTCTTCTTTTTCTTCTTCTCCTCCTCCTCCTTCTTCTTCTTTATCAGCACCCCCGCTACGACCAAATGAAGAGAGTGGGCGACGCAAAACATGTCGGTAACCCCCAGCCTTGCAGCAGCACTAACAAAGTTCGAGCCCTTGTCACGCAAAAGACGTGTGCAGTACGCCTCGACCATCAACAATTCTTGCATCACCTCGTTCAATACCGTAGCAATAGCAGGGCCATCATGGATTCCGGGAAGTTCACGAGCTTCGACGGTCCAGTTTCTCGATTCAGAGCGGTCGGTGATGTAATGGATTGTAAGCGAAATGTATTTTTTGACGGTTGGGCAAGGCAATTTCCACGCGTCCGAGCTCCTGAGTGATGAAGAAGACAAATTCCACGAAACCTGCGTATTCTACAATAACTAGCGGCCGAAAGTGGCGCAATACACCTCGGAAGTAGCATGTTGACTTGCTTCTGCTGCTCAGGCGTGATCGAACGAATGGGAATCGTCTTCTCGGGGTCAGCGACGTCTGTAAGCTTATCATCGAGACGGCGGGCCGCGCACACCTTTTGAACGCCACCGCCTGTTGTTACGACCAAATTCTGTTGGTCCAGGAAGAGCTGGTGCTCGCTGGGGTGAGTTTTGGTCACGTGCTCCACCATCTTGTGAGTGAGCGGCGAGCAGCGCGGAGTTAGTGAGACAAACATAATACGAGCTAGCTGGTATGCGGGATCCGGCGTCGATACGAGCATGGTCGGGCCCAGGGAGACGTGAGACGTTAAAACCTGGAGATGAAAAGATCCTTCCCATCAGCAGAGGAGCTGATTGATAAGCTGAGTGAGGGGATTTCGTAGCATTATTTTGTCCTGCCAGGCACTTCGGAAGCAGGTGTGGTGTGGTTGCCCGCCTTGCGCTGCGAGTGTAGGCCAGCGTTGTCCTCGTGTGTGAACCGTGAATACGCTCGATAGCAGTTTCTAGAAGTCGATGTCGAACGCGTTAGAACCACCAGGCTTGGCCCCGTGAATATGATCCAGTTTGTCAGGGAAGAATGCGTATGTTAGTGCTGAGCTAGATGACGCGCATCCAGGGCGCACAAATCAACCTCGTATGTATCCGTCTCGATCACTGTGTCAGCGGGCGAAAGAGCGTTGAAGTACTCCAGCGACACGCCATTTAGATGTATAATCTACCAACCACAGTAGAGCTTGTCTCGTGTAGTCCGTCTAAGCGGTAAATTTGACTTTCCCTTACTTGGAGTCGCTGGAGGAAGGGTCGAGCAGCGTGGTTACAGGAAACCATGTGCCGAAGGTTTCCATAAGTGACCTATACGCCTTACGGCTGAGGTACGAAGCGGGGTAGGCTGCACGAACAATTCGACTGCCTTCTCGACTTTCTCGGGTGGTTTAGAAACGGTGAGGTAGACACTCTTGTTGTGTATGCTGATCTTACGAAAACCCAATGCTATGTCTCCAGTCATCAGCTTGACTTCGACACCGGGGCGGAACGGCTTTGTACGAGTTATCTCGCTAGCAACGGCGTCGCAGTGAGCGTAGTCTGGCCTTGTGATGATCTCTTGGTCTGTGTAGGCTTTAATCGGGGTGGCTTCAGGGTACGAGAGGTCGTGAATCGTTCGGTCGGAAACGCTCGCATCGTCGTCGCCTTTGTCGGCTTCTCCGAAGGGGCTGATTCAATCTCGGGCCGCAACACCCGTAGATACATGTCTCGGACTTGGTAGCGCCAGGAATCCTGCTCCTTGCGGAGTTGGACGTTCGACCCTTGGTTTGGTGATCGCTCTAGTTGCCTTGATGGGGGGGCTTAAGTCGTACTTGTACACCATCACGGACAATTTCTTGGAGCTGATCGAGGTGCCAGTAACACTCGGAGTGCTAGTCGATCATTGCGGGGATTCGGTTCTTTTTGGGCGATAGTACTCCACGGATTGATCTCGCAATAGCTCCACAAGGGGTTAGCAATGCACCCGTCTGGCAGACATATTCGGAAAGCGCGAGCTTCAGTAGGGTACCCAGCCGAAAGGCTTCTGCAGCGTCAGTACCGCGGACTTGGGTTAGGTTTCACGCGGTAGTGTCATACCAAATCGCGCCAATGTCGTAACCAGTTTGGCACTACAACCCAGGTACGTCGCACACCCACAGTTGTGTGTATAATCATGGTGACTGTGTCATTAACGACGTGTCGCAGATGCCGTTTGGCCGTTACACTTGGACGCTCGGGCCTCGCCGCAGCGGATGAACCTCTACTGTTGACCGGGTAGACCCTGGTCAGCTCTTCGCATATGCTTGGTAGTATGTGTGTATGTAAGAGGGCTGTTATTACATCCATACGCGGGGCGCAAAGATGTTCGCGTCTGCTGACCCATGTGCTTGGGTTGCGCTAGTCTGTGTACCGTTTCTATTGCGGGCCGGGCAGTATAGTCGTAGGTGACTGTATAGTTGACCCGGACCGTAAGGTTAAGAGTGGCGCTATAGCCTTAGCCTACAAGGGCTATGCATTGTCTACATCCGAACCGGCGCCGGAAGCGACCGGTCAATGGGCAGCACCAACCGAGGTTTCTTTAACCTGGCGCAGTGCCAAAACCGCCACATTGTATGCTGGCTGCATTACAGACTGCAAAATCGCGCGCGTTAGTCTAACTACTTCTCTGTCTCACCAATTATAGGTAGTTTGATTTTTTGTGTACCTCTTAAATATGTTAGAATGATTTGATTGGATATAATTATTTGAGGTGAGGCTCGCATCAGGCCACCGTAAAACGGTTGGTGCGTGCGCTTAATCTACGTTAGGAGCCCAAGACAGCAGAACCTACAGTCAAAATGCCAAGGACAGTCAGCGCGAAGGACAGTCGGAGCGAAAGACATCACGCCGGAAGTAAGCGTTGCAGTGGTGGTCTTCCTTACCACCTTAAGTAAGGAAGGCCGCCTCCGCTACGGGACCATCGTGCGGGCCAAGAAGCTGTTCAAGTTCAGCCGCGCTGCCGTCGAGACCACCTGGGGTCTTCGGGGCGATCCCGCCGCGCTGGTGCAGCCTCGGCGGCCGTACCCGCCCAAGTCGACACGTCTCAGCCCCAAGGAGGTGGGCGAGCGTGTTGCGGCCGTGCCGCTCTGCCAGCGACAGACTCTGCGTGCTTTCGAGGCGGTATCCGGCATCCCAAGATCCACGCTGCACAGGCACCTCAAGTCCAAGGTCCTGCGGCGCTTCATCTCGAGGGTCAAGCCGGCGCTTACGGACGCACACAAGCTTCAGAGGCTGACGTGGGCTCTTGCCCAAGTGCAGCGCCCAATTGGTAGGAATTTGCGTTATTTATTATTGATGTTAGTAATTGAAAACATTGTTTGAAATAATTATCAACTAATGTTCTCCAAAGGCGGACTTTTGTATCGCTTTGATGCTATGTATGATGTAGTTCATATAGATGAGAAGTGGTTCAATATGTACAAGGCGTCTTCTCGATACTACTTGGCTGCTCACAAAACACTACCTTACCGTTCGTGTTCAAACAAACGCTACATCGGTAAGGTAATGTTTCTCGCAGCCGTAGCAAGACCAGATATGATTTTTCACGAAAAACATATTTTGACGGAAAATTTGGGATCTGGCCCATTGTTGAGCGCACCAAGGCAAAAAAAACTTCCAAAAATCGAGTTGCCGGTACGCCGATTACCACAAATATCAGCATGTCAAGTAAAGTGTACGTGGAGATGCTCAAGGAAAACGTTTTTCCAGCTATTCGTGCAAAATGGCCGGGTAAGTTTGTTATTTCGGAAGTACTTTTGACTTATTTATCTGAACTAACTTTTTTTATTTACGTATACAGGTCGGAATACTTGTGTTATTCGTGTCCAACAGGATAACGCAAGCCCGCATGTGGAGGAAGATCATGGTAAGGTCCTCGCCGCTGGTAAGGAAGGTGGCTGGAATATCGAAATGTTGTGCCAGCCACCTCGCTCACCAGAGTGTAATATTCTTGATTTAGGGATTTCTAACTCTATTCAAGCGATTCAGTATCGGCAACCAACAAATCAGATCGATGGGCTCGTTGAAGCAGTAGATAACGCTTTTAACCCTATTGTGGTTGGTGGTCCTAAAACCTTGCAATATGCTTGGTTTACAAATTTAATCCAATCAAATCACCCCTCTATTGATTTTGACCTATTATCTCACTTGCGTAAAACCAAGCATATTGCGAGGTTTACAACAATAATTGCAATAATTATTGGTAAACCCCTGCAAAATGATATATTATGCTGCGGGGTGCGGAGCAAAACCAAGCATTTTTTTTTATGCATGTTTTACACTTTACTATAGGTACTTCAGTATACAAAATCCAAGTATAATATTGATCACTAAAGGGTTAGCAGTGCTAAAAACCAAACTATTGAGAAATGCTTCCTCACTTTGCAAAACGTGTTGGAATGCATTATCTCTAACGAGGGAAAATATGATTTCAAGCTCTCTCGAGTTCGTAAGACTGTCGGTCCGACTGGTCTCGGTCCAACGTCGCTTGCAACGACAGTGTCAACTATAGAAAATGGCTACAAGGCACTGACGTCTCAGATTCTTAATCAATAGAGCCACTTTTTAAATCGGAACATATATTATTTAATTATGTACCTAAAATCTTGATGCTCATTGATTGGATAAAATTACCATGTGACTTGACCGATATCAGCATAACAGGCAATAAAATCTCGAGTGTTTCGCATGTTTCTGGTGCTTGTGCTATTGCGTACAGAGTCGCCAAGTCGGAGCAATCTCGTGGTAACCTTTTTGTTTTATATCACTAATTTTCCATGGAATTACAAAAACAAACTTATTTCTTTCAGAGGTGCGTTTGCATTTGTGTTGTTATTTACTTGCTAAGAGCCGTTATTACATTGCAAAAAAATACTGTGAACAGCGCCCTACCACGGGCTTTACAACGCGGGTATGCTGGGCTTTGGGTTGTTTGTGTAGGCGAACTTATGATAGAAAAAAAACAACTACCTACAAATTGGTGGGACAGAGAAGTACTAACAAAGGCTCAAACATGTCGAAATCGATCGTAAAATTGAGCGAGATACGGCCACCAACGTGGGTGGTCCATCCAACTTGTCACCAGGGATGTAAAATGAGCGGTTTTGCGTAATAGAATAAAGGTTTTCGGTAACCCCCCCACGCGTAAAACTAGGAATATACCGGTTTTATTGTGATTGTTAAAAAGATTCATGCAGGGGGCCTCTTACTCTGTCGCTAAGCTAATTTAGCTGGCGCGTGAATCCATTCCGGATTAAGGCAATACAGATAACTGTTAGTATAGATAGCTAGTAGAAACAGACAATGATGATTACCTCGAACACGAGCCAAACGCCGAGTCGGGCGCTGGGACCTTAGGCGGCAGCGTTTCCCACGTGTGGACTAATACTCCCACACTGAGTCGCGGTTGGCGACCTCAAATCTGGCGACGAGCTCCCATGTGATCTCGTCGTAGCCCTCCCACTGGATTAGATAGAAAGTGACTTGGTTGATGTGGCGTGTTGCCCAGAGGCGTCGCACCACAGAGGCATCTGCCGTCGGTACGGCTGGGGCATTGCCAATCCCGCCTGTGGCGATGAAGTTATCGTCATCGCTCTTGTCGTCACTCCCGTCAGCGCCTCCTGTTGCAACGAGACGTGGCACTGGAGCGCTTGGCCGGCCTACACGCCAAACGCGGTCGTCGCGGCAGGCAAACCGCGCTGAGCGGCGCTGGCGGGCGTTTTGCGGGGTCATGGTGGCTTGTTAGGAAGGTGGCATAGTGACAGGAAATCGCAGACTGATAAAGGCATAGCAGCAGTAGCAGCAGTAGCGGCAGCTTGTGTGCAAGTCAATGTGCAACATCGCATGCAACCGTCCGCCTATTTTACTGTTGTTTAGTATAATGGATATAATAGTGGTTCTCACGGTTGGTAGATTTGCTGGTTGCAGGTAAATCTAACCAATCAGCGTAAACCTGCAGGTGTGTTCAGAAAGTGAATTGCAGGTTAGCCAGCATACTTTGTGACTTGCTGCAGGTTTGGCTGCTGGTTTGCAGGTACATCCTATTGGCTGATGAAACCTGCGGACCTTCCAACCGTGAGAACTACTAATAGTAAATTTTATATGTTTAATCGGAATTTTAATAAGCCTAGCCTCGAGGGAGGTATGCCTACGCATGCAAGTACATAACGTAGATGGGCTCTGGCCCCCCAGATACGTGACCTGCTCCACCGTCGTCGCTTCTTATTCTCCACTTATGTGCCAGTTCGCGATTAATTCGTGAACGCTGTCGCGCGTTTCTTGGTCCATCCCTTGGCCGGGGTAGCGAGGATCCAGGAGGTAGGCGACACCATATGCATCCCCGTAGACGAAGACGAAGTGCTCGTCGAGGATCTGCTGAATCTGGCCCAGCTACGAGAGCGGTATCTCTATCTTCCTGAACTCTTTAGGAGGTTGAGGAACATGCCGTAGACGTCTGATGGCGTTATCGTGTCCTTCTCAAACGCCTTCTGGAGTTTCGACAAAACTTCCAGGAGCTTGATCGCCTTTTCAGCTGCTGAGCGAAGTCCCTGGACACGACGGTATCGCAAGCGTGGCGTGGCGTTGCTTTGCTTTCTGCTCTTTGGCTCTCGCACGAAGAAATCCTCGGGCTGAAACTAAGGCGTGCAAAATCTGCTCAGAAGCCAGCACCGTCACGAAACATACTTCAATGGTGCCCCAACGCGTATCCACTGGCAGGAGAGGCTCAGTTTACCCTGCATGTGCTGAAGTCGCTTCAGTTCATACCATAGTTGCTGAGTTTTCCTTAGGAACCGCACCAGCTTCCGGCGATTCTCAGCGAGCGCCCAGCCGGTCCACGAGATCCTTGACCATCAGATGCAGCGTGCGCGAGATACAGCATATTGGGCTTCTGTTGCTGCAGCGTCGACCAAACCAGGCGATTCGTGGCTGAGTTGTCCGTCACAACAGACGCAATCGTGAAGAAGTCCACCTAGGCCATGACACGGAGGATGTCGGAGGCTAAGAACGGTGCGTTATGAGTGTCCGAGCCGGTGTAGATGCATTCCAGAAAAATGGTCAGATCGCCCATGAGCAGCACGTAGTTGATGACAGCCTTCCTGTTAGCGTCCGTGTATCCGTCGGTCGTCAAGGTAACCCTTTTTCTTTTTGCCGAAAGCATCAGCTTCGAGTGGAAGTCGTCGTAGCATACGAGAGCGCCATACGCGATGCCAGTGTCGCTGCGACGGACCCTACTGCCATGGGTAACCCAGAATGCCTCGAACCGCTACGCGTGGTTGCGCTGGGTTGTCACGGGCAATCTGCAGCTGTCGTTTTGCGAATCTAAGGAAATGCGTCAGTAAGTATTTTCGGATCTATTTTGATGGTTTACGTGTATGCTAATGCCGTTTGTTATGTAGGTACACGAAGCTAAATCACATCTCCGTCGAGACGCTGACCGCCATCATGGAGGCCGTGACCAAGGCCGTGGAGAAGATGATTGGTGACGCCATTCTGGCCTTGTCCTCGACGAATGGACCCACGGGACGGAGCACTATATGGCGGTATATGGCTGCTTCGAGACGACAGCGGATCCTCAGTACCCGCTACTCTCGTTAGCGCCCGTCATGGATGAGCCTGACGACCAGTTGATTGCTGACGGCCATCTGACAGATAAAAAGGTTCCTACCTTTTTTGGTAAGTTTATCTCCGGGTGTCTATTCCAAGTTGGCGACAACCGCGGCGTAAATAAGCGGCTGGCAAACCTACTTGGCGTGCCGCTAATCATCTGCGCCAACCACCGCCTGAATTTGGCGGTGCGAGACTAATTGGAGCCCCTTGGCAGCATCCTCGAAGAGGTTCAGCAGTTTATGCGTAAGTTGCGAACTTTGAAGCAAGCAGCCAAGTTGCGGTAAGTACTCGGTTTGCTGGTTTATTTTGGTTTTTGTATTGATACTAAACTGTGTTTGTCTTTGGGTGTATTCCGAAATTAGTGCCAAGACGCCATTGACCGCTGGCCTTCGACAGGACACGCGCTGGTCGTCTGCCTTTTCGATGCTCAAGCGCTATTTTATGCTCCGTGAGTTTATTTCGGTTGACGACGAGGAGCTCTTGGACTTCCTCCCGTCGCACTCAGCTCATCGCAGACGTTACTGGCAAGCCTCCGGGACGTCGAGTCTGTCTCCAAGCACCTGCGGGCGACGCCTTCACGCTGATGGACGTGCGTGTCCTGTTCGGCGAGCTCCTCAAGAGCCACCCGTCATTCGCCAAGTATCTCGGTAAGGAACATCGTTCATTATGTGTCTGATGTTTATTTTAATCTAATTACTATGTCTTTGGATGGTTTTTTAATTATGTACAGCTACTGACGCGGATATTGGCCACTCCGCCGTATTCGAGCAGGCGGTCGTCAAGGTGCTGGACGCCCAGGCGGCCTTGCTGACGGACGGCGAAGTCGCTGCGCTGGAGCCATTCAAGCGCGCGCAGGCTCCTGGGGAAGGCATGGACTGCATGACAGCGGGCAAGGAAGGCTTCGCTGTGCGCACGCTCAAGCGACGAAAACTAGCAGCTGCGCCGGCCATGTACGAGCTGCTGGAGGCGATTCCACCAACGTCAACATGGTGGAGAGGCTGTTTAGCGTCGCCCGCGCTGTGCTGCGCCATGAGCGCCACCGCCTCTCCCCTATGATGCTGGAGATGATCTTGTTCCTTAACCCCCCCCCCCCCCCGCACTCATACGTTGTATATGACTACATGTTATGAAAAAGAACAGCACGTCTTTTTCTACGTGAAATGCACAGGTGTAGGTGAAAATATGCACAAAGAACGAGTAGTAATTGCAGAGAATGGTGGATTAGACTGATTATTTGATTGCCTACAGATTGCTAACAGGAACCGCTCTCCCCATCATGCGTACGAGACAGTGCTACCCCAACAATGCCCTGGGTACTCCGATCAGATCAGACAGGATATGATACATGATTGTGCATAGTGGCTCGAAATGCAAGATGAATCTCGTCCGATGTACCAGGGTATGTATAAGAAGAGGTAAGCTGAAAAGAATGAACACCGTAGACACTCTATTTTGCTATGTAAGGGTTATATTGCGCATGTAAGTACTAATATGCACCCCTCAGAGAGAATGCAGCCTGGGGAGGTGGCCCAATCCAATAAAACCGAACAGGGTGTGCGCTATAATAATGCTAAGGCGCCATTAGCCCGCGGTTGGGAAGACGTTTCACTTGATTGCTAGCTAGGTGCAGCAGGTTCTGTGTTTTCCAGGCATGCAAAATCTGGTATGTTGGGATGCAATCATAGGATACTTCCGGCATAGACCCGCCCTTGTGTTTGATTTTTGTTCACCATCAATAAAAAGGACACTGCAAGTTGTAGTATATACACCCTGTCGAAATTTAGCTACCCATCCGAGGGCGTCTTAGACAACATGTGCGTCTGTCTGTGTCAACCAGTTTCCCGCAGGTTATAGAAATGTGTCGTACTTACGGAAGGCAATAGTTAGATCAAATACGCATAGTTTTAACATGTAGTATACAGCTTTAACATGGTGTATATTGATCAAAGCCAGGGACCGAAAAACCTCGCGAGTGCGGGGGGGGGGGGTTAAGATCAACAGCTCGCACTGGGATGTAGCGACAGTGGAGCAGTGCCTGTAAGTAGGTTCAGGTGTAACAAGATTGCAGTAATTTACTGTGTCAACACGTAACTTTATTCATTCTCTCATTCAGATGCAATTCAATATTTATTATGCTATCCGGTGAGCAATATATATATATATATCGTATTATTGGCATGCCTGGCCAAGTGACGAACAGCCGAGGAGGTGGAAGAGTCCATGAGGAAGCAGGTTGCAGGGTTGAGCTTGAAGCCGCAAAAGTACGAGTGAGAGTAATTAAGAAACACAAAGGCACGCACGGAAAAGGCATGCTGCATCTTACAACCAAGGACCCAAGCTAGGAGCCATTTATCCACGGCTCGGATAACCCGTGTGTTTTTACCATTCCGCCCGTAAATAAGATATTACCCGCCCAAACTTTTGTAAAAACGCGGAATTTGTCCGTCCCTACGTGGCCTACACTGGATGAGATTGTTTCAGCCCAGGAACGATACGCACACACGGTATCTAGCAACTTCCTGGTCAGAGGTGATTCTGGCCAGGGCTACCACAAAAGAGACCATGGATACCGAGCCAATGCAACGACCTGCTACAGAGGCTCATGGTAATTGCTCATTGTGGTGCGCACGGTCACCACGGCGGTGCTGCTATGATGGAGCACCTTCAACGCCATTTTCATGTGGACCACTTACGCAGGAAAGTGGACAGATTCCTGGCTGCCTGCTTACTGTGTCACCATGTTAAAGGAGGAAAGGTGGTGCAACGCCCATGGAGTGAAACTTTCCGCTGCCATGAGCGTAATGGAGCATTACATTGGGATTTCCTTACGGTGGGTGAATCGTTTGGCGACGACAAGTACCTACTAGTATTGAAGGATCATGCGACACTACTGTGAACTTGTGCCGTGCGCTACGCCGTCTAGTGCTGTTGCAGTTGCTGCGATACTAGATTGGCATGATAGATTTGGTATTCCGCCGATTTGGATCAGCGACCAAGGTACCCATTTTAAAAATGAGGTACTTGCGGAAGTTTGTAAGCGGCTCAAGAGTGAGCAGAAATTTACGGTGGCTTACAGCCCGTGGATCAATGGTAGCATTGAGCGTGTCAACCGTGACTTAATCCAAGTTCTCAGAGTGATGTGTCTGGAGTACAAAAAGGACATCCGGGACTGGACAATGTTTGTTTCGCTACTGAGAGCAACCATCAACCACACACCTGTGCCTTCACTGGGCAACAAGGCGCCTGTAGTGCTGTTCTGTGCGCTACCATTGCCAACCCCGCTCGAGTTCTGCTCCGGCTTGGAGCAGCGGGAGGTACTGGAGTTGACTGAACAGCCCGATCTGATAGAGCAGAAGCTGCAAGCGCTACGTGCAAGTGTCTAAACTATGCAAAAGGCAGTCGATGAAGAACGAGAGCGGCAAACTCAGCGCAACAAAAACGACCAACGAGGTGCGCAAAAGGCCAACTTTAGTGTGGGAGACTACGTGCTGTGGTCTCGGGTTGACCAAAAAGCACCAGGACAAACTGTTACCGTAAATAACGGCGAACATGCAAGGTTGTAAAAAGTAGAGATCAAGTAAACCCGTAAAAAGTAGTTTGAGGGCGTAAAAAGTCGCTAGCCGCACACTTGACTCCTCGGGTGCAACCACTCAGTCCCAGAATGGCCCCGAGCGCCGCCTAACTACCACGATCTCGCGCAAGCTTAAAGCCCTCGAGCGCATTGCTGCAGGGGAGAAGGCGAAGGATGTAGCTGCTGCATGCGGCGTTGACCGCGCTACCGTGTGGCGGTGGGAGAAACAGCGTGAAGCCATAGAAGCAGCGAAGCCAAACCGAGTCGGTGAGAAGAAGCAGACAATGGCGCTTTCGGCTGAGACGGAGCAAAAGTAGGTGTCAAAGTTGATTACTATTGTTATTGCTGTATGACTCATATTTGTGTAGGCTTTTGGCGTGGATTAGGCACATGCGTTGCACCAAGTTATACTGCGTCACCACGGCTTGCATTCGGTATGCGCACGGATACTTCGACCCCGACTACACAGCCACGCGCAGCCTGGACGCGGTGAGGATGTACATATTCCGTTTCTCAAGCGGGATCGACTTACCTACCGCTGCATCACTCATCGCGGAAAAGTGACGCGGAAGGGGATGCAGGTAACTTGTTATTCATTAACGTGTTAATAATATTGGATGTGTTTAAATTTGGACTGTTTGAATGTGCAATAGATTGTAACGGACCGCTTCGCAGAGACAACTGTCCATGTCATCGAGAATAAGGGATTCTTCCCTGCAGGATGTCTGTTGATAGGTACAACTATGTATACAACATGGACCAAACGTCAGTATGCTTGGACATGAACCCACACAGTACAATTGACTTTGTGGGCGCTTGCACAGTTAACGTTATCCAATGTAAGTTGAAGTCGCAGTTTATTATTGTTACAGTTTGTGTTTTGCTAACATGACAAATACGTATTTGTAGCGACGACGCCGGACTCCTTTAGGGCGTCTGTCTTCTTATGTGCCTCCGCTACTGGGAAAAAATGCGCTCCCTTATAGTGTTCGCTGGTGTTCCTGATGCCGATGTTCATGACGAACTTCGAGCGCAACGGGACCTCTTCGACTGGGACAAGGCGCACTTTACTGTTCAGCCAAAACCTTACTGCGACCAGCGCGTCATGCAAGAGTGGATTGACGATGTTTGGAGTCCTGATGTACAAGGTCCGAGTGTTTTACTACTTGATAGTTTAAATATACAACACAAGATGGAATGCATCAAGACTTCGTTAGAAGACAAGGGGCACGCAAAGGTGGTGTATGTACCCCCAGGAGTCACAGGCTTAGCGCAACCTATGGACATTGCGGTCATGAAACCGTTCAAGGACCGATGCCGGGAGCTGTACCTACAATTTGTACGAGAAGGTGGAGTCTTCACGACCCCAACGCAGAAGAGAGGTAGGATTGCAGCGATAGTTACCCAGGCCTGGGAGGAGGTCGACGAAGAGAGCATCGTCAACGGGTTTTTGGGGGCTGGCCTCGTCGCAATAGGCCCCCGCGATGCTAATGGCGACTTTGCCTCTCCAGAGCCCACACGCGAAGGAATTGTTGACGTTGAATAAAATGGAGGTCTGTTGTACGACGGGGTGTCACTTTACGATTTTGGTCGTACTAGCATAAAAAGGTATCCCTCATCGAGTTTTACGAAAATATGCATCTTCGCTGTACGTTGCATGTTCGCCGTTATTTACGGTAGTGATGTGGATTGGTCCCTACCAGATCGTGAAAGCCGATACGCCCTCTTTTGTGGTCAGACACTTTGCTACGGGAGCATGGATGGAGGTACATGGCTCGAGACTGAAGTACTATGCAGACAAGGACTTCGAAGTGACAGAAGAAGTTCGAAAACACGTAGCAACTCAAGGAATTGTACTGGCTGTGTCTGAGTTGAAGGGGCATCACTGGTGCCCAAAGAAAAAGGACTACGAGGTTCTAGTGGCCTGGAAGAGACTGGAGCCGATCGAGGACTCGTGGGAGTCCGTACGATCCTTATTTAAGGATATACCAGTCCTGCTGCGAGCGTATGTGTCACGTGCGGCAGACACAGGGCTGACAAAGTACATTGAAAGGGCGTCGAGATTTGCGCCAAGCTGAAGTTGCAGAGTGATTACCCGGAGTGACGGTCACGGCAACATCTACATTCAGACGACATTCGTGCAACATCACATTTTGGCCCGACGAACCAAGTCAAGTTTGGTGTGGCCAAGGCTTGACGGAGTGGCGTAGCGGCGGGCTACATGGACCAAGCCTATCCACGAACACTGGGCCGCACAGAACGTGAGGCGAAGCTGGTACCGTAAACCACGGGTTCATTGCAACAGGGGAAAAAGTCCTTGTCTATTACTTTTTTTATAGTTTTTACACGTAAAAAGTCAACTCGCCCCCTGAACCAACAACCCCTCCTCCGCCCGCGCAAATGGCATCCGCTAATTTACTTTTCGCGCGCAACATGCCCAGAAGCCCAAAGAACACGAACAAGAAAAAGCTACAAGTATGTATTTACTTTAAGGTTCTGCACCTACTGCTATGCTAATATTTTCTGTATCTGTAGGCACTCAAGCTGCTTAAGGCGACAAGTGCGACTGTAGTGGCAGTTGCGTCTGCTGTTGGGGACGACCGGTCGACGCTTCATCGCTGGAAGAAGGACGCCAGTCGTATCGCTGAATCGAGCCCCAGTCCGTGCTTTGCCGGCCCCAATGCGCGTGCTCACGTATACGTGCAGCAGCCTGAGCTCGAGCAGAGGTATGGTTCTCAAAACACGTATGCCTTTTGAAATTTTCTAATTGTATTCTGATGTCGTTAAACGAATGTAGGCTACTCGAGTGGATTGTCAACACGCGCAAAAACAGATATCTTTGTGTGTCTACCAACTGCCTACTGCTTATGCACTCGAAGTTCGCTCCCGCCCTCTTCGCGACACGGTCCCGGGCGGCTAGTTTGATGTTCATCCGCCGTTTCCTCAAGCGCAATCGGCTGACAGTGCGGCGGATTACTCACAAGGGCCGTAAGAAACGGTCGGATATGGAGGTAAGCTACGGTTTTGTTCAATTGAAGGTGATTAGTGTTATCTAAGTATTTGACTACTTATGTATGTTTACAGGAAGTTGCGAATGTGTTTTCGCACTCTATCCTGCGTACCGTAGAGGAGGATGGGATTCTGGCTCACGTCAATGGTCCCGACAAGTATGCGTCAGTGTACAACATGGACCAAACGGCTGTCTATATTGACATGAATGGACGCACCACGGTTGACTTTGTGGGCGCTCAAACGGTCGACGTCGTGCAAGGTAAGGATGTCATTTTCAGTATATTATGACGCTTTGCTAACATTTTGAACGTACCTGTAGGAAGCGCGATAAACGGCTTCCGAGTGTCCGTGTTCCTTGCTGCGTCGGCCACGGGCGAGAAGCTGCCTCCGTTTGTTGTTTTTGCAGGTGTGCCCGGCGAACCCGTATCCCAAGAGGTGTTGAACCCTGCTTTTGGAGCGGCGTCCGTCGAGCATACCGTGCAGACGAACGCGTACTGCGACGCCACGGTCATGCTGGACTGGATCGAAAGGGTACGTGTTTTGGTATGCTACGTGTATTGACATTTACTAATTTGACTTGATTTCACTATAGGTTTGGAAGCCGTCAGTCGACGGTTGCAAACTACTGATTCTGGACAGCTTAACCCACCGGCGACCGCTCTTATCTCAATTTTGCAGGGATAAGATTAATATAGACATTTGTATAGGGTAAGAGAGGTCCCCAGCGGCCGGCGCCGATCCTTCGGGCTCCATCGACGTTCAGTCTCATTGGTCAGATCCACCCAATCAAAACTTAACTGAGGTCTTAATACTGAGCTGGTTGAAGACTACGCTGGGAAAAACCTTGGCGTACTTTGTCCTAAAGATCGGGATATTTCCTTCTGTAGAGAATCCAAACCAGAATATTGTAAAATATGAGCGAATAGTTGTGATACTACTAACTTACATTAACAGCGACCCCTCGCGATCCTGCCGATACTGCGGTGTCCAGGTTGCATCTGTAAGTTGTCGTGAAAGTGTGGCGGAGCGCCCTAGATAACGCAAGCAATCCGATCATCTAGAGCATTGCTGGGTCGCGCAGGCGGAGGGGCACAGGGCCGTTCGAATATAAGGGTCTAGAACGAGTAGGAAGCGCTGCGTGGGCACTGCAGCGTGAAAATATGGTTAGCCACATTGAGTGTCATCATTATTCCTCCATCATGTTATGATTTATGCCCCCATGCGTGCTGATGAGGCATTGTGAGCAATGCCGTCTAACCGCTGTTTGACTCAAACATAGGTTGGCACCTTAGTTCCGACACAGGGAGGTGGTAATACCCTGGCATCACGTTCATGTTTGAGCGGGCCGCAAAACCTGCCGAACCAAAGGCGACTAGCTAACTAAAACGTCGATGAACTTGCTATACCACACTCTGGTCTCTACGAGACCTACATGGCAAGAATAATCAAGCCGAGACGCTGAGCGTCAATAGTCGCTTCTTTCAAGTGGCCAATCTACCGAAAGACAAAGAAGCACGTGCTTCCATTGTATTCGGTCTGGTCTTCATGAAGCGACGTTGATTGTGGCCACGTGGCTACCTGTATTAGCTTTTGTATGTTCAACCACGTCAACGTTGCTTCGACGACTTGTCAACATCGACATGTTTGTATTGATCTGAGTATAGTGATTATCATGACATCAGACATGTCGACATTGACATGTTTGACTAGACTTTTGTATAGATGTCGTTATGTCAAGATTGAGATATTTGTCTAGGTTGCAGTACACGGCAATGCCAACGGCTTCATATATTGCTCTGTTACTCTAATGTAAGCTCAAACTGTCATAAGCCCCGGTCGTTCGCTGAGCTACCCGGCTCGCCGGGAGGTATGGCAGGCTGTCGATGAGGGACTCGCAGGCGCATTGGCATGTCCGGCTTGTAAGAGGCCACGATCATGCTTTCCACACAGGGCTTCTAGTGAGGCGCACGCGCGCCGCCCATGCCAATGTTGTCGACCGCCGCGAGCGTGCAGTCCGTATCGGGTTTGGCCCGGACCGCAAGCGTACTGTCCAAGTTGGGATCAGCACGCAGTCCAGGTCGGGCATGGTCGGTGATCGTGAGCCTTGGGATGATCTGGGTCCGCGAGCATGCCGTTCGCGCTGGGCTGGTCGAGGGGAGGGGGCAGACGGAGTCGCCGGTATGGCGTTGGTACCGGGCATCTCGGGGGACTCGATCGTGGCTTCCTTGCCAAGACTATCCGGGACAGCACAGGGGCCCACCGAACCGAGCTTGAGGAGGGCGCAGAGCATGCCGACCGTGCCGGGCGTGTCGGGGGTCAGCGAACATGCCGTCCGTGCCAAGCGTGTCGGGGACCGCGGAAGGGTTGGCCTCGCCGAGCTTGTCGGGGTCCGCGAGCATGCCGACCGTGTAGGGCATGTCAGGGGCTGCCGGTATTGCGTCGTTGCAGGGCATGTCGGAGGCCGCGCGGGTGTCGTCCTTGCTGGGGCTACTGGGGGCCGTGAACGGGAAGGTCGAGTCGGGTTTGTCGGGCTCAGCGCGCGTGTCGTCCGTCGCGGGCGTGTCGGGTCGCGAGCGGGTCGTCCTTCCCGGGGTCCCGGGTAACCATGAACGGGATGGCGGAGTCAGGCATGGCGAGGGGCTCGGGCATGTCGTTGGTGTCGGGCATGCCGTCGGTGGCGGGCATGTCGGGCTCGGGCATGACGTCTGTGCCGATCTTGCCGGGGGCCGCGAACGTACTGCCCGCGCCGGCCTTGTCCGGTCCCGCGAGCATGCCGCCTCAGTAGACAGCAGCAACTTCGGGTTCGGCAGAGGTTGAATGAGAGGACACCGGGGGCCGGGTGCGATCACGACATTGTAGGCGCTTGAGTGCTTGTCGGCGTTTTTAGAAATGAGCTTTCGATGCGGAGCGGCGGCGAGCTTTGGTTCCGATGATACGCTCACGAAGGCGCGCCTCAATTCCGAACCCGGGGGAAATTTGTAAGCAAATCTATTGGCTATTTCAGGAGTAGTTAGTGATCATTGGCGGAATCGTTTGAATACTTGCGATGATTGGTGGAATTGCTTAATGGCAGCAGGAACCGCGCAAACAGCATGGCGCGAAAGGGGACGAAGATGTGCACGTTGAAGTGATAGCGTGACGTGTATAGCGTAGCTTAAGTATGGAAGTCGGAAATGGCAGCCGTGCCACAAACTAGATTGTCCCGCATTGTGCTACCTTGCAGAAGTGCCCATTTTGGCGGCAGTGGCGGACACCGGCGGCACCAGATCACAGCCGCAGGCCGTCCTAGCTTTAGGATCGCGCTCAAAAGCGACTATAGGATGCAGTGAAACTAATCTAGGCAATCTAGGCTGCCTAGATTAGTTTCACTGCATCCTAGGCAATCTAGGCTGCCTAGATTAGTTTCACTGCATCCTATAGTCGCTTTTGAGCGCGATCCTAAAGCTAGGACGGCCTGCGGCTGTGATCTGGTGCCGCCGGTGTCCGCCACTGCCGCCAAAATGGGCACTTCTGCAAGGTAGCACAATGCGGGACAATCTAGTTTGTGGCACGGCTGCCATTTCCGACTTCCATACTTAAGCTACGCTATACACGTCACGCTATCACTTCAACGTGCACATCTTCGTCCCCTTTCGCGCCATGCTGTTTGCGCGGTTCCTGCTGCCATTAAGCAATTCCACCAATCATCGCAAGTATTCAAACGATTCCGCCAATGATCACTAACTACTCCTGAAATAGCCAATAGATTTGCTTACAAATTTCCCCCGGGTTCGGAATTGAGGCGCGCCTTCGTGAGCGTATCATCGGAACCAAAGCTCGCCGCCGCTCCGCATCGAAAGCTCATTTCTAAAAACGCCGACAAGCACTCAAGCGCCTACAATGTCGTGATCGCACCCGGCCCCCGGTGTCCTCTCATTCAACCTCTGCCGAACCCGAAGTTGCTGCTGTCTACTGAGGCGGCATGCTCGCGGGACCGGACAAGGCCGGCGCGGGCAGTACGTTCGCGGCCCCCGGCAAGATCGGCACAGACGTCATGCCCGAGCCCGACATGCCCGCCACCGACGGCATGCCCGACACCAACGACATGCCCGAGCCCCTCGCCATGCCTGACTCCGCCATCCCGTTCATGGTTACCCGGGACCCCGGGAAGGACGACCCGCTCGCGACCCGACACGCCCGCGACGGACGACACGCGCGCTGAGCCCGACAAACCCGACTCGACCTTCCCGTTCACGGCCCCCAGTAGCCCCAGCAAGGACGACACCCGCGCGGCCTCCGACATGCCCTGCAACGACGCAATACCGGCAGCCCCTGACATGCCCTACACGGTCGGCATGCTCGCGGACCCCGACAAGCTCGGCGAGGCCAACCCTTCCGCGGTCCCCGACACGCTTGGCACGGACGGCATGTTCGCTGACCCCCGACACGCCCGGCACGGTCGGCATGCTCTGCGCCCTCCTCAAGCTCGGTTCGGTGGGCCCCTGTGCTGTCCCGGATAGTCTTGGCAAGGAAGCCACGATCGAGTCCCCCGAGATGCCCGGTACCAACGCCATACCGGCGACTCCGTCTGCCCCCTCCCCTCGACCAGCCCAGCGCGAACGGCATGCTCGCGGACCCAGATCATCCCAAGGCTCACGATCACCGACCATGCCCGACCTGGACTGCGTGCTGATCCCAACTTGGACAGTACGCTTGCGGTCCGGGCCAAACCCGATACGGACTGCACGCTCGCGGCGGTCGACAACATTGGCATGGGCGGCGCGCGTGCGCCTCACTAGAAGCCCTGTGTGGAAAGCATGATCGTGGCCTCTTACAAGCCGGACATGCCAATGCGCCTGCGAGTCCCTCGTCGACAGCCTGCCATACCTCCCGGCGAGCCGGGTAGCTCAGCGAACGACCGGGGCTTATGACAGTTTGAGCTTACATTAGAGTAACAGAGCAATATATGAAGCCGTTGGCATTGCCGTGTACTGCAACCTAGACAAATATCTCAATCTTGACATAACGACATCTATACAAAAGTCTAGTCAAACATGTCAATGTCGACATGTCTGATGTCATGATAATCACTATACTCAGATCAATACAAACATGTCGATGTTGACAAGTCGTCGAAGCAACGTTGACGTGGTTGAACATACAAAAGCTAATACAGGTAGCCACGTGGCCACAATCAACGTCGCTTCATGAAGATCAGACTGAACCAAAACCAAATGCATTTTCATTGCCTTGGGGCCGAGCCTTTTTTACATAAAAAATACCAGAGACGTCCAGCGCCAACGCCATGTTGTTGTTGACGTGTGGGTCCTGAGCATGGATGGAATTTAAACAAGGACGGTGCTGGCACTTCATTCAGGTGTTGGGCGTGTCCAACACCATAGCCCGGTAGCTGCTCCCTGGACGGCCCCACTTCTGGTGCTCTACCTTAGCCGTACACATTAACGTCTGCCCAATGGGGTATCCACATCCTCCAACACAACTACATGCAGTATTTGCTTGGAAGCATAAAATCATCCGTGCTGCGCAAAATTTATCTAGTTACCTAGCAACTTTCTGGTGATCATATCCACTAGCTCTCAGTGCCTCATAAACGCCATGCTTCTAAGAACAGCTATGATCTTCTTGCCCACGTGATCACGTGTAAAGCACTTGGTGCAAGTATGAGTGTGAGTAGCGTTACCCACGCCTACGTGAGATAAGCCCATACTCAATGGGGCCTCAGTAGAGACTTGCAAACATGCACCAATAGGTATGAGCCTGTGAGCGCCAAATACACGAGAGGCTGTATGGCCACAATACTGGCGATGATAATGCTGGATGCACCCCTCGCTATTTTTCAGAAATTTACATTAGGTTGAAGCACTAAAATGTAGCGCTCACGTTGCACTTTCAAACGTAAAACCACGCATCACACCCAATCAAGGCGCGAACGAGTTCGCGCGCGCGAATCGACCTACCACGCACAAAATCCGCAAAGCAATTTGATTGGCCAGAACCAAGTTAGCGGGGTCTCGAAAGGTCGCCACGCCGGTATGGCTTGAAACGGCACTTTCCCCCGAAGTTTTTCTTATCCCAGCAAAATCGGGATAACGGTCGCCGGTGGGTTAAGGACCCACAAGATGGCGTCGGTCCGGTACGCCTTGCAACAAGAATGCTGCACGCAGGTCGAGTTCGTGCCTCCCGGGGTGACTGGCATATGTCAGCCCATGGACGTCTCTGTGATGAAGGCTTTCAAGAACCACATCACGTACGTACTCTTATTCTTAATTGTACTGATGCTGTCATTTACTTACTCTGTGCTACGTTTTTAAGAAATGCGTACCTGCAGTATCATCTCGAGCACCCGTTTCCGGCGACTGCGCGCGAGAACCGAGCCCTGATGTCACGCCTTGTGGCCGAAGCCTGGGACGCGGTACCTGCCACGGTGATTACCAACGGCTTCATCAAGGCCGGCTTGATTCCAACCGGCCCCCGAGACCGCAGTGCCCGCTTCCGGGTTCCCGATGTGTCGGCTAGCAATGCGCCACTTGTATGCGATGAATAAAATTTGCTTTTCCTTTTTTGTCAATAACAGACTTTATGTGGCCCAGAGTGGGGTGTCACCCCTATGATTAAATCTTTAAGAGTCCTTTTTTGGGTGTTTTTACGGGGTGATGCACTCTACCCGTACGTTGCAGTGAACCCGTGGTTTACGGTATATGTAACGGGGTTACACGCACAAGTGGCTACAGCTACTTGCAACTCTAACAGACGCGACGTCTATTAGAGGTTCGAAAGACTTTCTCGACCTTGGTGTAGACATACCAAAGGCTACATACATGTACGATCACCACGACATAGAGACTTAGGATTCCTATTGGCTGAAAGCAGCATCTTTTAGCCAACGAGCGATATGCATAGCATTGGAATTCTGCCAACCAGCCGTTGGCAGATTCCTAACTTATAATATTACATAGAGAGGAAGTCAGAAACCATAAAACAAAATAGCAGTTTTCATCTGTACCAAAGCCCGCTACTTAGAGTCTTTATCTTGTTTAAAGTGTACTCGTGGATCTCGAGTATACTTAATTCAAGTAAAAGAAACCTGCGCTTCCTCATACACGTGCGCACACGTGTAAGCCGTAGTAGTGAGCCAAAGTAGGCCCACTACAGTATAGGTGCTTAGAGGACGTAACACTGTAGGAAGATACTTCTAGCAAGACCGATCAGTTTACATTCTACTTCGTAGGAGACAAGCAATAGAAGAAGGTTTACCTGGAAGCGCCAGTATGTTCAAGACCGGAACCCAGTCCATTCTCCGACGCCAGCTCCAGAAGTCCACACACTACCTCCTACACCTCGCTCACGTCGCCCACCTGGCCCTCAGCCAGCGAGAGCGTCCTCACAAGGAATACACCGAACCTGACGCGCAGGACATGCGAGAAAAAGAACCCGCTGGCACGTACGGCGCCATCAGCAATGGTAGCCGAGTAGATAGATAGCAACTTCATCCACGCTGACTTGGCTGGGCCAGCAACAGGCACAGCAGCCTGTAACAACAGCTCGGTCAGCACCAACTCGGTCATTGCGTACGCCGTCTCCAAGCACAACAGGAACGCCAGCACCAACGACAGCGTCTCCGACGTCAGGCCCAGAAGCCCACACACTACCTCGTACTCCTCGCTCACGTCGCCTATTTCGCACTCAGCCAGCCAAGCCTAAAATATATTTCTACTGTTTTCTAGTGTCGTTGTAAAAATACTACGTATGTATTTAAAAAATTAAGATTGGGAGATGAAGATTTAAAATTCTTTTGTAATTACCACAAAACGCTTCGCCAAAAGATGTCGCGACGCTGGGAGCCAGCGGAGTAAAAGGTTCTGCATGAGGAATGCACTCTTGCGGGGGGGGGGGGGGTGCCTGCGATATGGTCAGCCTATTGCCTGCCCTCGACAAGGCACCACGCAGCCTGCTCGCGGTCACCAGCCAGGCCCAGCGGTGGTGCAAAGATCACGGCATTCAGTGTGTGACGCACTGGACTCCAGAGATGGTGCGGTTCGCGAGACAAATGACAGACCAGTCACGAAGAGGTCGCTCAATTGCTGAGTGAGAAATTCCGGATGGCAATTACAAAGAGCATGGTGCAACAAAATCTGCGGGCTGAAGAGCACAAACAGGCACATCCACCGGCAACACGCAAGCGCCCCTGGACCTCCGACGAAGAGAACGTGGTCGTGCGAACGTTGTCTTATACCATGCCCGAGCAGGTCCATCAGTCCTTCCTTCAACTCCGGGATTTGGGTGGGGGAAGAACAAAGGCTGAATTCAATAAAATGCGTCGCAAAATGAAAGTCACGTCAAGATGGTGCTCGCGTGGGAAACGAGCCATCAAACCAAGATATCTATCTAGTCGCTGAAGCTTCTTCTCCAAACCACAGTGGTGCTGAAGGCATCGCAGACACCGCGATCCCTCGGTGGCACCATTTCACCTACGCTGCCGGCTTGCCATGAAGTTACCCGTACAGCTTTTGTGTCGGTTGATCCACCGGTTACGATGTCTGCCTCGGCAGAAAATCACGAAATGGAGGCGCCACGCCCGCCGAACCCGCACGAATGGCTCGGGTAGGCCAGGAATGCATGGTAATGGCCAACACCGCCACCGGGACCGCTAATACGGCAGAAGATGGAGCAGTGGAGGACACCATACATGATGCTCCAGCCCAAACAACAGCTGTCGTACAACACACACAACGGATGGATCTGGTGATGCAGCGAAATGTGGTTGATTTGATAAAAGATGAGATGGTTCAGTTGAGAGAGCACGATGCGCGGATGACGTTTGGAAGTTGTCATGACGAATGGAATGTGCCGACCGGAATAAAAAAATATGCCAACGCCACAGAACAATATTGTGTTTCAAGCTCGAAATGCACAACTTTGGCTCCGTGACCGGGATAGACACCGTCAAGACTACAACTATCCGCGCATAAGCAACCTCGGCTGGTTGCGATTGCCGCAGGAGAGACTGGAATTTAAAGTGAACGCCAGGACGGGCAACTCAATCATTTTTGCAAGCAGCGCAGTTTTCCGGGGTTGCCCGAACATGAAGTTGTCGTTTATTCGCCACCTTCATTTTCATCGCAATGGCACGTATGGACCGTGTTGAACAGCTAATTGCGGGCTCGAGTATGATATGTTATCGTTGACTATCCAGGCCGACGTAAATTGCCGCCATGCGGCTTATCAACTACGAAACGAGGTTTACCGAAGTGATTTTGAAAATGACCAAGACTACCGTCTGGCCCTCGCTCTCACCAACCACTTGGATGCGGCGGCCATCACCTTAACTCGAGGCAACAACCCCAGGGTAGTTTTTAGCGGAAGAGTATCAAGTTGGCAGCCACTGAGAAAGCACATACAGAGGTGGTCTACACTACCTTGGAGCGTAAAGGAAGCGTTGTCATATTTGAGTCTGGTATTCATTGACGCTATGTGTGGGGATCGCAAAAGCGATCAACTAACCCGCAAACACTCGGTTGGCCACTTGGTCGAGGGAGAGCTGTATACCTTGGGTTGATTTTTCGAGTCGAAGGACCTCGATACCTAGTGCTGGTCCCAGTCACAACGATGCCGCTCAGGATAGACGAGGAAGTCGAGTGGTATCCCCATGATAGCATTGCTCAGCAAGTGGCTCGTTTTGAAAATGTAAACTCACCGATCGAAAGTGAAGACTTGTGGACGAAACTGGCGTTCCGAACAAGTCAATGCACACTTTCGTGTCCTTCTCTTCACGATAGTCTATCGGAGAACGAGCAATTCATGAAAAAGTACAGACGGCTGGATCGGCGTCAGAAGAAAGCTGTGTATCGGATACTCGGTGGCAACGGTATCGTTCCCATCGTTGGTCCTTATGGCAAGACGACTTTATTACTCTTGCTGCAACAGCTTATGTCAAGTGGTTGTACCCCCAACGACTTGTGGGTGAACGAACTCGATGTGGAATTTGCTGTGGTTGATGCTTGCCAAGGGCGTAACGTAGACATTTGTCTTGTGAGCACAGTGCGTCACAACGCTGACGGTAGCATCGGTTTTATGACGTCGTCGCGTCGGGTGTTAATCATGCTTAGCAGAGCAAAACATTACTTGATCGTTGCTGCCCATATCTCAACATTAAGCTCGGATTACTGTTTGGACGAAGTGTTCCAGAGCATGCGAAAAAACAACGTGTACGAGATTTAAGCTAGCCAACTTCAATTTCCGAAAAGGACCCTCCGGACCACATCCTCTCTTACAATTTATTGCTTTTACTCCCGACAAGGTCACCATGCCTTCTTTCATCTGAACGTGGCCCTCGTACGCTGGTGGGGGTTCTATTGACCGGAAGAATCTCCGATCATCGTTATCGACGGCTTCTATCAACCACTCAGATCGCCATGAGCTTCCCAGGCTCGACTGTCAGACAGGAGCTGCCCGCCGGGAGAGCCTGACCAGCTCCGAGAAGGGCCCCAGGGTCGCTGTGAGTAGGCCGAGGCGACCGGGGTAGCTGGTGGAAGCCGCCGGCTTGAGCGGGAAAAAGCAGCTTCCATCGTCGGCTGCAGCAAGAGACTTTCTTCAGGTGTTGTCTGCTGTACTTCACGACTGCTTAACGGCTCGTCAACGGCGTCCTGAGGGCGACCATAGCTGCTAGTGGCACTTCTCATTCAGCGGCTTCCTCCAGCTACGTCAGTCGCCTCGGGCCCTTCACAGCGCTTGTCGTCGAGTGTAGATATCTCGAAAAACCGTGCCGAATTACTGATATGGTCGTTTGTAATTCGAATTACTTGTTGGTTCAAAAGAATCACCCTGCTTCTGTCAATTATCCCAAGACAGTGCCTCTGTCAGTCACTCGAGGGTTTCCGTACTTAACACGACCGACTGCGGCAACCTTTTCGCCGATCAAAAAGCAACAACCCTGCCTGCCGCCTTCCTGGCTGCCCACTGCAGCGCCTCGCCTCGCCTCGCCGGCCATGCACATCAAGCAGGTGGTGGTGTGCGGGTTCCGCAGCTACAAGGACCAGGTGGCCGTGGAGCCCTTCAGCCAGCAGCACAACGTCGTGATCGGGCGCAACGGCACGGGCAAGTCCAACTTCTTCGACGCCATCCGCTTCGGGCTGCTCACGTCTCGCTTCGCCAACCTGCGGCCGGAGGACCGGCAGGCGCTGCTGCACGAGGGCTCGGGCAAGCACGTCATGGCGGCCTACGTGGAGATCATCTTCGACAACAGCGACGGCCGCCTGCCCGTGGACGACGCGGAGGTGGCGCTGCGCCGCACCATCGGCGTCAAGAAGGACGAGTTCTTCCTCAACCGCAAGCACATCACCAAGAGCGACGTCGTGCACCTGCTGGAGAGCGCCGGCTTCTCGCGCTCCAACCCGTACTACATCGTGCAGCAGGGCAAGGTCAACGCGCTCGCCGTGATGCGCGAGCGCGAGCGCCTCGAGCTGCTCAAGGAGGTGGCGGGCACCAAGGTGTACGAGGACCAGCGCGTCAAGTCGCTCAAGATCCTGCAGGAGACGCAAACCCAGCGCGACAAGATCCAGGAGGTCGTGAACTACATCGAGGAGCGCCTGGCCGAGCTCGAGGAGGAGAAGGAGGAGCTCAAGGAGTACCAGCAGCTGGACCGAGAGCAGCGCGCGCTCGAGTACACGATGCACGACAAGGAGCTACAGAACGTGCGCGCGGAAATCGAGGCGCTGGAGAAGCAGAGGCAGGAGGAGAGCGCGCAGTCCACGGAGCTGCACGAGAAGCTCATGCACGTCCGCGCCGAGATCAGTCGCATCAAGAGCGACCACCGCAAGAAAGAGCAGGATCTGGTGCTGCTGGTTGAGGAGAAGACGAGTCGCGAGGATGAGCGCAAAGGACTCATGGAGGCCAGGTACAAGCTCGAGATGGAGGTGCAGGAGCTCAAGGAGCAGATCCGCTCCGACGGTGTGCAGCGGTCGGCCGTGTCCAACGAGGCGGAGACGGTGAAGCGCGAGATCGAGGCCAAGCGCGCGCAACTGGCCAACGAGATTCTGCCTGCGCTTCGACAGGCGGAGCAGACGCACGACCAAGTGGCTCGCAATCTTCAGGAGTGCAGAGCGCAGTCGGAGCACCTCATCGCCAAGCAAAGTCGCAAAAGTCAGTTCCACACGCAGCAGCAGCGCGACGACTACCTCCAGCGCGAGATCAGCGATATGGAGAGCGTCGTGCGCCGCAAAGAGGCCGACACGGCGGCGTTGCGGCACTCGGTTGAGGGTCTTGCGCAGTCTATTGATGCATCTGAACGAACGCTCCAGCAGCATATTGAAGAGCTGAAGGAGCATCGCCGCCGCGTGGACGATGTCAGCGCACAGATGCTGCGTCTGAAGGAGCAGCGCAACATTCTGAGTGAGGAGCGGAAGGCCAAGTGGCGCGAAGAGAACCAGATTTCGTACGACGTGCGGGAGCTGGAAAAGAAGCTGAACGACGGAGAAAGCGCGTTGCGGAGTACGATGTCGTATGATGTTCGCCGAGGTCTTCAGGCTGTGCGCGAGATGCAAGGCCGCATTCGAGGCATTTATGGGCCGCTGATTGATCTCGTGCGGCCGGTCGATGAACGTTACTGTATCGCTGCGGATGAGGCTGCAGGAGGCGCTCTTTTCCACGTCGTCGTGGATACAGATGATACTGCAACAAGGATTATGCGCGAGCTGGATAAGAAGAATTTGGGTCGACTGACACTTTTGCCGCTTAATCGTCTGAAGGTGAAGGAGCATTTTGATTATCCTCGCAATGACGCTGTGGTTGCGCTGGTGGAGAAGCTTGAGTTTCCTGCTGAGGTTCGCAAGGGTGTTATGGCTGCCTTTGGCAAGAAGTTGCTGTGTCGGGACCTAGATACGTGCGTACGCTACGCGGAGCAGACGAACATGGACTGCTTGACGCTGGACGGCGACATGGTTCATCGTCGCGGTGCTCTGAATGGTGGTTTTAAGGATCTCCGGCGATCGCGCACCCGAGCTATGATGGAAGTCAAGCAAGCACAAGTAGATCTGGAGAACGTGACGAACAGAGCTTATCGAGTGAAAGCAGAGGCCCAGCAAGCGGATCAGCGGGTGACCGGCGTCATTAGCGAGATTCAAAAGCTCGAGGAAGAGAAACGCCGCGTTCTGTCCTCGCATGAGCAATTACATGACGACATCACCCGGCGCAAGCATCAGATTCGCTCTGAGAAAGATAACCTGGCGCAAAGAGAGCGAAGCTGTGATCTTCAAGAACGAGAGATCAGGGATTTGGCTGCCAAAGTAACGTCACTTCGCGCGGAGCTCCTTACCCCCATGCAAGACACACTGGCAGCTGATGAACAGGAGTTATTGCATTCCTTGACGAAAAAAATCTCACTATTTGAAGCAGAGGAGCGAGACCAGCGTCAGCGACTGGAAGAGATTCGCTCCAAGAAAGAGGGTATCAAGACGGTTCTGGAAGAGAACCTGGTCAGACGTGAGAATGAGCTGGCACGGCAACTTGGCGAAGGAATTGAAGAGCTGGCGATCAGCGAGCGTGAGGAAAATTTGAAGGCGAAGCAGATCGACCTGGACGATGCGTCGCGTTTGGTGGACGACAACACGTCATCACTGAAAGAGCTCGAGCAAAAGATCGAGGCGTTGCAGCAGGAAATCACGAACGAGAATACGCAGGTGGATGCTCTAAATGGAGAGGATGTAGCACTGAGTGACCAAATCCAGCAGGAAGCTCGTAAGGCGGAGAAAGTTTTGAACAAGCGTCGTCGGCTGTTGAAAAAACGTGATGATGCAACGAAAGACATCCGCGAGTTGGGAACGTTGCCACTTTCTGAGCTCGAGAAGTTCAAGGAGCTGCCATACCAAGACGTGATCAAGCAGTTCAAACGCCGAAACGAGAAGCTCAAGAAGTACAGTCACGTGAACAAGAAAGCGTTGGATCAGTTCATGAGCTTCAACGAACAGCGCGCAACGCTTCTGGAGCGTAAGGAGGAAATCGACGACGCGTACAACTCCATCAAGGACCTCATCGACGTGTTGGACAAGCGAAAAGATGAGGCAATTTTCCGCACCTTCAAAGGCGTGGCGGGCTTCTTTTCAGAAGTTTTCCGCGAGTTGGTGCCAACGGGTGAAGGCAAGATGATCCTTGTTGGGGCCGATATAAGCCAAGCTAATGGCAGTGGTGATGCGTCGCTGGAATCAAATGTCGACACTTATTCTGGCGTGCAGATCAAGGTGAACTTCCGCGGCGAGGGCGATTCTTACTTGATGCAGCAGCTCTCCGGTGGCCAGAAGGCACTTGTGGCTCTCGCGTTTATCTTTGCTATCCAGCGAGTCGACCCGGCCCCGTTCTACCTGTTCGATGAGATTGATCAAGCGTTGGATTCAACTCACCGAGCAGCTGTCGCAGCACTGATTCACCGCCAAGCACACTCGAAGGACAGCCCTGCTCAGGTATGCGCGGTATACATGTAGTTCTCTTGTCTATCAGGGCGCTAATCATCGTGGGTTTTGTGTTTGCAGTTCATTACGTCGACATTCCGTCCGGAGCTAGTGAACATCGCCGACAAATTCTACGGAATCGGCTACCAGAACAAGATCAGCAACGTTTACTCGATGACGAAGGAAGAGTCTCTTGACTTCATTTCCAACATAATGGCGGAGGAAGAAGGCGTCGCCGACGCGCAGGAGTAAGGACTCAATCCTCTCTCCATGCGACCTATCTATCATTTCATCCGTTTTGAAGCAGTTTTGGTTTTAGTGAGAAGATCAGTGAGTTGTCACCAAAAGTATAAGGCACTCTATTTTATCTGGTATCATTGCGAGTCCTATCAGTCTTTTGCTGAGCGAACACGCTTGCCAGACTTGCGCAGACCGAGAGCATCGCGCTCGTCAGCCTGCTTGGACTTGAAGGCGCTCTTGAGACTATCCAGCTTCTTCTCCGTCACTGGCCACTTGTTGCACGCCTTGGAGTTTTGCCAGAAGAAGACACTCGTGTCGAACGATGCAATGCGCCAGCGAGTCTTCCTGATCTGCTGCTTCCCCTCGCAGTAGCCGTGCTGCTTCTGAGGGATGAGGAGGTGCGTTTGGTTATAGCGACTCGAGTTCAGCTGTTGCCATCCCTGTACATCCGAGGACCATGGCATTAGCAAAGTACTGTATCGAATTGACAACTCGCGCAAGGAATCGTTACCTCAGTGTCTTGCCACGCCGGAATGATGACGATGAATGCCAAAGGACCGTCCGCAGCGTTGAGCAGTGCAGTCATGTGGTCCGCCATCCGCTTGATCACCTTGGGGATGAAGGGCGGGTTAGCTTCGAAGCATCTGCGATCAAGGTCACAGGACCACAACGTCAGTACTATTTATTCCACATTAGGACACCGAGACTCGTCACCTCGTACCCGGAACGCGGCGAAAAGTCGAAGAAGCTGCCCACGCTTCCAAACGCACAGTCCGTGTCCAGGAAGGCGCTGCAGAAGCGCGAGTACCGGCAGTTCAAAGGCGACGCGAAGCACTCCATCTTGCAGTCGAACTCCTTCAGCAGCACGTCGAAGCACTCCTCGTTCAGTGCAGCCTGCTCCCCATAACACATCAGAACCCCTCTCATTGACCACAAGCACCACAGCTACTATACATACCTGAAAGCCTCCGCCGTCCAGCGAGTCGTAGCGCAGCAACAGACAAAACAGCGCGCTCTCGAAGCTGCGCTGGTCCTTGGGCGCCATACTCGACCCGTCGCCGCCCAGCCCCTGCTTGCGCGCGTACATCTCCCGCAGCTTGGCGAAGTGCGCGGCGCTGAGCTTGACCGTCGAGTTGCCGTACGTGAGCTGGCGCATGCCGTCCTCGGCCGCCGCCACGTGCACCCTCTTCTTCTTGCCGGCCACGAAGTCCTGCTGGCCGAACTTGCGCAGCAGCCGCTCCGACTCGCGCGTGAGCTCCTTGCACTTCTTGGTGGCGCCCGACTTGGTGGCGCCGGCCTTGCGCAGCTCCTCGAAGAGGCCGCTGTAGTCGCTGCCCGCGTGCGGGATCAGCGGGTCCAGCTCCTTGACCTTCAGCTGCGACGTGAACTGCCACGTCTCGTAGGCCGAGTTGGGCAGCTTGCCGATGCCCAGGTCCTCGCTGGCGCGCCGGATCTTGTTGCACAGCGCGCGCACCGTCTGCTGCCGCGCGATCTCCATCGCCGGGTTCACGGAGCGCGCGCGGGCCGCGTCCTCCAGCTTGCGCAGCGTCGCGGCGTCCAGCGGCTGCTGCTGCTGCGGGTTCCAGATGCCCGACGGGGGCGTCGACGAGGACACGGGAGGCGTCTCGGACTCGCTCTCGCGCTCGCGCTTCTTGCCTGCGGACTTGGTGGTGGCGGGTGCAGCAGCGGCGGCATTGCTCTTGGGCGGCGACGCGTTGCCGGTGGCCGCCGCCATGGACGCCAGGATAGCTTCCAGCGGGTCCATCGTCGCAATAATGGACCGACACCACCAGCTCAGTGGTTTAGTGACAAGGTCACTAAAACGAGGATAGTTGAAGTTGCCTTGAACTGCTGGGTGGACGAAGATCGACAGGCTGGCTGCTGCCTGCTGCCATGCATGTTGAGCACCTGCGTGTGCGTTTGGTTGGGTGTGCATTTCGCGGCTACAAGTAGCCGCACTTGGATGACGAGTTATGCCGGAGCCCGCAATATCTATTGTTGCGATGCAGCCATGAGTATTCGAGCAACTTCGCGAAAATGGACACGCATGATGGTCGAGCACCAATTCGGAGCACAAGACGAGTACAGTCCGCTGTAAACAGATCCGTATCTCACAATGACCATGTGTAGAGGACCGTGTAGCGTTATGCCCTTTTGACACCTGTGGCGATAACTTGTTGGTTTACTTGCTGCTTCAACCACGTAAAGCGTGAGTATGCGGGTAATGTGGGGGGAGTCCCCTAAATCGAAGGTAACGTAGTTTGCGGCCACAGCGCCAAGCGGTGGCATCATGCACGTCTTGCTTGGATGCCTTCATGGAGTCATCTTTTCGTGTGCTCGTGCACGATAGGTAGCGTGGTGGTACGTATGGCACGAAGGCCCATTCACTGGTCTTTAGAAGGTAAGTTAGAGATCTCTAGTGACGTATCTTGTTGGCAATGATCTGTCTCCTTTGCCGGCTATCACGCTCCAAAAGCTGACTGCACAGTTCGTCGACAGAAGTCCGACTGCTAGGTGACAGTCCTTCACTTACCTTTGGTAGTATTTTCGCATTTCAACTTGGGATTCGAGCACGTGATAGAGGTAGCGTATCAGTGCCAGTGGATTCTCTATGACAAAGTCGTGGGTGAGCTTCCGTGGGCGAACTCGGAAACCGCGGCGACAAACAAGCGATGTTTATGGTGTCGTCGATGCTGTCCGTTGAGATGACAACTGTGACTCACAGTCTGTGAGTATGCCGAGTCAGCAGTCCCGACTGCTGTAACACTTCAAAAGGGTTATACAGCCTCTCCGTGAAGCAATAGCTCTGCAGCAACGCCATGTATTATAATACCCGTTGTATTTTCAAAAGCTGAATAGCGTGCGCGGATTGCAAGAGTAGCAACCTCATTTTAACAGCGGGTGTTGCGGCGTTTGCTACCAGGTAGGATTGACTTATTAGAGGATGGCGCCGCTATCACCGTCAAGAGCATTTCCAAACACGTCTGCCTGAAGCACACGGGCCACAAGTATTGCTGCTTGTCGAGAATTTGTCTGTTGTCGAAATGGAAGTATCTCCACTAAATTCTGCGAGATCAAAGTGTAGCCACTTCAACCTGTGTAGCCACTTCAATCTGTGCAAAGCACTATTTCGAGGGTCTCACTACAATGACTGTAATGTACCCGTTTAGTTCCGACGCAGTGACTGGCTGGTGTTGCTTCCCCTTGGCTCTATGGCCACCCGCCGCCGCCAGCCTGGACGGTAGCACTTTGAGTTTTGCAGTAACTCTCGTATCAAGTATGGGTCACCGTAAGTTCGAGGCCCCGCGCCACGGCCACCTGGGTTTCCTGCCGAAGAAGCGCACCAAGCACCACCGCGGCCGCGTTCGCAAGTTCCCGCGCGATGACGCGTCCAAGGCGCCGCACCTTACGGCCTTCATGGGCTACAAGGCCGGCATGACGCACATCATGCGCGAGGTCGACCGCCCCGGCTCCAAGGTGCACAAGAAGGAGATCGTGGAGCCCGTGTCGATCGTCGAGACGCCCCCCATGGTGGTCATCGGCGTTGTCGGCTACCTGGAGACCCCGCGTGGCCTGCGCACGCTCACCACGGTGTTCGCCGAGCACCTGAGCGAGGAAGTCAAGCGTCGCTTCTACAAGAACTGGTACAAGTCGAAGCGCAAAGCCTTCACCAAGTACGCCAAGAAGTACCAGACGGCCCCCGCCGACATTGAGAACGAGCTCAACCGCATCAAGAAGTACTGCCAGGTTGTGCGCGTGCTCGCCCACACGCAGGTCCGCAAGGTGAAGCTCCGCCAGAAGAAGGCCCACCTCCTCGAGGTGCAGGTCAACGGCGGCTCGGTGGGCGACAAGGTGGACTTCGCCAAGTCGCTCTTCGAGAAGCAAGTGCCCGTCACGGCCGTGTTCGCCAAGGACGAGATGATCGACGTCATCGGTGTCACCAAGGGTCACGGTATCGAGGGTGTCATCACCCGTTGGGGCGTTACCCGCCTGCCGCGTAAGACCCACCGTGGTCTGCGCAAGGTCGCCTGTATCGGTGCCTGGCACCCGTCGCGCGTTCGCTTCACGGTGCCGCGCGCTGGTCAGCACGGTTACCACCACCGTACGGAGATCAACAAGAAGATCTACCGCATCGGTGCCGCTGGCGACAAGAAGTCGTGCATGACCGAGCAGGACCTGACGGAGAAGGACATCACCCCCCTGGGTGGCTTCCCTCACTACGGTATCATCAACGAGGACTGGCTCATGATCAAGGGCGCCATCGTCGGCACGAAGAAGCGTGCTCTGACCCTGCGCAAGTCGCTCCTGGTGCACACCAAGCGTTCGGCCCTCGAGGAGATCAACCTCAAGTTCATCGATACCTCGTCGAAGTTCGGACACGGTCGCTTCCAGACCGCCGAGGAGAAGGCCAAGTGGATGGGCCCTCTCGCTCGCCAGAACCGCGCTTAAGTCTTTTCCAAGACTTTTGTGCAGCTTTGCTAGGTGGCAGGTGCCTCGAGTGGCATTTGTTGCGTAGCGTAGCATCCGTGCTTCTGCAGACCTCATAGGGAAACCATAAGCAAACGAAGATACTGCTCTACTGCAAACTCTTACTCTCTTCTTAAACTTTCTTTAGTTTTGCACGTTGTTATGTGGAGAGATATCTGTTTGAGGATATCTCATAAGCGATTGTTGCTCGGATAACAATGAAGTGTCCACGTGCTATTATCACAGCTCCCAAAAACTCATTACAGTTCCTGCATCTTGTCTGCTTTAATCACGGTCAACCTACTCCGTCTTCTTCTTCTGGACGGACTTCTTAGCGATGCTGATGTCCAGACGGAAGAGGAACATGCACACGATGAAGAAGGCCAGGAAGCCCGACACCAGCAGCAGCGGCTCGTGCATCATGAAGTGCTTGGGGAACTCGAACGTCACCTCGAACGGCACGTTGTGGGCAGCCACCACGTTCTTCTTGTCCAGAATGACCACGGGGCGGCCGATGGCGGGCGTGTCCAGGTACGTCTGGCGCGTCGTCTCGCTCGTGCCGTCCAGACTAAAGGGCACGTTCACCTGCACGTTGGTGGCGCCCTCGGGCAGGATCACCTTGACGGTCAGGTCGTCGACAGAGGCGCCCTGCACGGGCGTGGAGAAGTCGACCTCCAGCTTGAACTTGTCGCCGACGTGAGTCAGCACCGAGTGCGTGGGCACGGAGTAGCCCAGGTACCATTGGCTCTTCCAGCCGCCGAACAGAGGGAAGCGCGGCTTGAACTCCAGGTCCTGGTACGAGCCCGTGCGGCCAGCGGGGCGCAGGCGCGACGTCGAGATGTTGCCGATCTGGTCGCGGTAGTACACGTTGACCGAGTCCTTGGGCAGGTGCGCGTACATCTCGTGGAACGAGGCGCCGCGCTGGTGCAGCTGCACGTAGTCGTAACGCGAGAATCCGCCCTTGAGCTTGGCGCCCGTGTGCTCCAAGTCGTACACCTCCTCGAACGAGACGCGGCCCCACATGGACACCTCAATCTCGCGCGTGAGCTTGGTGATGGTCATGAACGGCGCGTGGTTCTTGTAGTGCACGCTCAGCGGCGAGGCATCCACGCCTCCAGCGAAGGCCTTGATGTCCGTGTACGGTCCGAGCGTGACCACCGACCCCTTCCTGGAGATGGGCTCCGCAGCCTTGACGTGCTCCACATTGCCCGAGGGCAGCTTGAGCTTGGTCGTCTGCGTCTTGGTGAGGTAGGGCGAGGAGATGAGGTGGCTCGCGTCGAAGAGCACGAGCTGGTCCTCCTTCTGCGTGACCTCGGCCGGGTAGGGCGTAAGCACGCGCGTGAAGTAGGCCGTGACCTTGACGGAGCCCGTCTCGCCCTTGGCCACGGGCTTCTTGAGCAGCACCGTGTAGAGCGCGGCGTCCTCGGGCGTCTTGGCCTTGGCCGCGTGCTTGCTCGTGGCCGGCACGATCTCGCACGGCGTCTTGCCGCAGCGGGCTGACACGTAGGCGAGGCGCGACTCCAGCGCGCGCGGGAAGGCCACGTCGTACTCGGTCACCTCCGCGTCGGCGTCCGAGAAGGAAAACTCGGAGTGCTCGCGCACCACGTGCTTGGTCAGGTCGAAGGTGCGCTTGGCCTGAAGTGAAGCGGGCGTTAGGGCAGGAGGCAGATACATAGTCGATTCATAGAGGAGGCTGTGGTGCGTACCGACTGGTTGATGACCTCGGCCTGCACGGAGGCCAGCGCCGCGGTGGCCGCGAGCAGCAGGAAGCGCTTCATCATGGTCTCGCTCGTATCTCTCTGGGCGTATCCCCCCGACTCGACACGTAGCACTTCAGCCTATTTGAACCCTTCGTAACGCATGCTAATCGCCTCAGTTCCAAAGAGGAACTCTGTTGCAGGACGACCTCGGCAAGCGCATAGTAAGTTTTGGCCAATTATATCGTGTGATTGTACCCAATGCGACGGGATTGGCGAAAATCCGGCTTGCTTGGTTCGTGGTGGTCAGGCGCGAGGAGCTCCTCATAGCCGCTTGTGGCCCCAAATTCCCGACCGTCCTCCAGCAGCGTCTCCGTCGAAGTAAGAATGATCTCGCGCGTGTCTCGAGTGGCGCTCCGCAGCGCGGCCGCGCGCCGCACGGGTGCGAACGGCCTGCGCCTGAGCCAGTTGGCCCGTTTCTCCGAGGAGGCGGCCCCCAAGGTGCCCGCCACCGCCGAGGAGGAGCTGGCGCTCACGCCCAAGGTGCAGACCGTGCTGGACCAGATCCTTGAGCTCAACATGGTCGAGATCGCCGAGCTCTCGCACGCCATCCAGGTACGAATCCGTGCAATGCAATTGCTTCAGCAGTGGGATCAACGTATTGACGCTAAGATTTTTTTTATCTTTTAGGCCAAGTTCGGCATCGCCGAGTCCGCGTTCCAGGTGGGCATGGGCGGCGGCGCTGCCGGCGGCGCGGCCCCCGCCGCCGAGGAGGCCAAGGAGGAGAAGACGGCCTTCGACGTGAAGCTGGCCAGCTTCGACGCCAAGAGCAAGATTAAGGTTATCAAGGAGGTGCGCGCGATCACCGGTCTGGGCCTGAAGGAGGCCAAGGAGCTCGTGGAGGGCGCCCCCAGTACATTAAAGAAGGACGTGAAGAAGGAGGAGGCCGACGAACTCATCGAGAAGCTCAAGGCGGTGGGCGCGGTCGTGGAACTGGAATAGAGCTCGGGCGTTCGTGTCTTCCGCGGGGCAGGCGCCGGCCTTCTTTGGCGCCCCCCGGCGGTGCAGCCCCAACAGTTAGCAGCGTGTTTGGTGTCGCTTTGCGTTGTCTCTCTACAGGCCTATATCTTGCAAAACGATGCTTCGACTATTGCAACCCCTATTTACACGGAAACAGTTTTGTCCTCAGGAGATCGACAGCTACGTCTAGCAGTAGGTCCATGTCAATCAGAGGAGGAAGACGCACACGAGCCGCACAATATCTGAGACCGTGCGTTATAAACGCTGACCTATAAGCACACCAACCAATCGCAAGTTTGCTGGATACGTATCCACCTTTTCATTGGCTACCTTTGAAGTGACTTACAAGAGCGATACAAATTGCGTAATTGTGATCACATCGAGCTATTGGCAGGACGCAATGGAGGCGCTCAAGAAGACGTTCAAGGGCGCGGCCCAGGGGCTCAGCGAGGAGGAGCAGCGCCACCAGAAGTGCGAGGACATGCGCGAGAAGGCGCTTACCAAGTGTGCGTGCTCTGCCAGCCGTGACAACCTCTGTAGAGATGAAATACGGGCGATACTCTGACGTTCGCGGCACCATTTTGTTATCGCTACTTGCATGGCTGTCGACAGGCTCGCGCGTCAAGTTCCTGGTGAACGCCATGGAGAAGATGGGCTGCAGTCTGGAGCCCGGCTTCTTCTCCAGCGTGGACTGCGAGGGCAAGATCAACGGCGGCTTCCACCTGGACGACGAGGGCAAGCCTGGTGTAAGTCGATATCGCTTCCTGCAGCTACGGAGCGATGATCTGAGTGTCTGAATGACACTCTTCATTATGTGGCTGTGTTGCTGCTGGTTGCAGGTGGTGTTGTGCCAGAACCACATTCCCGACCAGGAGTGGATGGACCGCACCATGGCGCACGAGCTGATCCACGCGTTCGACCACTGCCGCAACAAGATCGACTGGAACAAGTGCGAGCACCACGCGTGCAGTGAGGTACAGTGCCACGCAGTATCGGATTGCTCGTTGTTGGCTAAGTTTTGGGTGCTAAGCATGTTTCAATATGTTGGTGTCCGGGTAGATCCGCGCTGCAGCGTTGAGCGGCGATTGTAACTGGAAGTACGAGTTCTTCCGCAACAACTTCAACGTCAGTAAGCAGCACCAGGTACGCAGTGTACTATCAAATGCTGCTGCAGTAGACGTATCGAGCTCCTGACATCGATGCATGATGCTCTTCATTTCCAGCTCTGCACGCGGCGACGAGCAAAACTTTCCATCGAGCAGAACGATACGTGCAAGGGCAAGGTGCGTACTTCCGCTCAAACACTCAACTGCACTTAGACTCAACCTAGTGACGCTCTTGGTTAACTCTTGTTCCGTGTCACTCGACTCACAGGCGGACGAATGCATCGACAAGGTGTTCGACTCTTGCTACCGCGATTGGTCGCCCTACCGCGAGATCCCGTAGTTGTGGTCATCCACCACATCAATACGCGAGCTCACAGAAGCCAAGACGCTGCTACCAGCGCCTACCAGCACAGGCTTCACCTCCCACGGCTGGCAGCTTCAGTAGATCTACAGCACCGCTAAATAGAGATACACCATCTGCAATGTCACTTAAACTGTACATTTACGGTACGCGCCCTGGAACGAGAGACCAGTCGATTGACACAATCAAGCCATGGCGACAACGCAGCCAGCGGATGCAGCGGCGCCGCCCGCGCCTCCGGCAACGAATAGCGAGGCACCGACAGCGCCGTCGTCTTCGCCAGCATCTCCCGCCCCTGTGGTCAAGAAACGGCGCGTCGAGAGGCGCGAGCGGCTGCGCAAGAGCGCTCTGTGCAAACACTTCGGCAAGCCCGAAGGCTGCCCGTTCGGCGACAAGTGCAAGTTCGCTCATGGACGGTGGGTCTGAGTCCTGTTATACGTTCTCGATAGGGTCGTGATAATGAATGATCTGATGTATATGCAGGTCGGAGGTGAATGACAGCGACTCGCACTCGGTGGCTGCTCAGCGGAGACTCATCCGGGAGCAGGCCATCCACCGGGCTGAGGAGCAGTTCCAGACGGCGGACGCAGGCGCCGTGACCTCCAAGCGCAGAGGCACAATGGTGGGTTGCAGTGTTTGCAATTGTGGGTGGAGAGATGGGAGGACTGATGTGATATTTGCTGCAGATTGAGCGCTACTACACGGAAATGTTTTCGTGCGACACGAACGGCAAGCCCATGGAGGACCAGTACGTGCACATGCACTCCAACCGTCTGTGTGTCGTGGGCGTGGCCGAGTCGCACCCGGTCATGCAGGAAGAACTTGTGAGCGTCGAGTTCGCGCAGAACGTGCTGGACAGCCGCGTGACGGGCAAGAAGAAGAAGGGCGGGCAGTTCATGCAGCCGAAGACGGTGCTCTGCGTCCTCAAGTGCAAGAGTGGCCGCGAATTCACGCTCTACAGCTGCATCCGGGGCTCGCTGATTGAGGTCAACGAGCGCCTGCAGAAGGAACCGCAGCTGCTGAAGCAAAAGGTGCGCTTGCTGTTTCGTGAGCTTGCTGGAGGTGGCTGCAATATCTGACTGACGATGCCTTGACATTGTTACAGCACCAGTCGGACGGATACCTCGTGATCATTCAGCCTAAGAAGGTTGAGGTTGCTGAGATCCAGGAATCTCTGCTTTCCAAGGACGAGTACAAGCAGTTCCGTGCCATTTCGCAGTCGTCGGCGACCAAGCCTGAAGTTGCGGAAGAGCCTGACGAATCGGCTAAGCCTGCCGAACCGGTTCATACCGAGGACGAGTCCAAATCCGAGCCTGTACCCATGGAAGAATAGATTCTGCTAGAGCATAGACTTTGAGAAAGCATTCCTGGCACGTTGACAGCGGTGTCTGGTTATTAGTGCGGCGACACACGTGCATAAGCAAAAACAGGAAGTGGACGCGGTAAGCTAATGTAGCAATGCAGCACCCTACCTCCACTCACCCACCCCAAGCGTTTGGCTTCGAGGGTCGACAGCTATACTTTTTTCTTTCTAATGACTACGTCGAGAACTGATCGGATGAACTTGGTCATCTCGGACCTATTGAAGCTCAGTTCGTCCTGCACACACAAAGAGCAACACTCATTAGATCACTGAACGACACGAACCAATTTGCAGCCTGCAGACTGCGTACTCGTAAATAGGATGGCACGTGAATGCCTGTCGCTGTCTGCTCGGACGGCAGATACTCGATCTCACTCGAGGCAATTGCAGGAATAGCCAGCTCGAACTCAAACTGGTTCCCCGTGGCCGAATCCTTCGTCGTGCACACGATCTCAGTGCAGTCGTCGCCTTCCTGGTCGTCGTCATCGGTCGACTGGATTAACCGAATGTCCGTGCTTGTCACGAGTCGGTAAATCTCCAGTAGCTGCAATCAACGCATCAGCAGAAAACAGCACGCCACACCGTCACCACACCGAAATAAAATTAAGCTGAAAGGATGGTCCGTACCTTGTTAGCCTGACCAAGCTGGAGGATGGCTTCGCTGTTCTGCATGGCTGTTAGCAAGAAACAAAATAAGTCCGTCAGTGACAAAATCTAGCGCTCGTCAGCCGATTCCCCACAAATGTACCTGTAGCAGCCGAGGCGGCAGCGGCGTTCACCGTCACGACGTCATCGGGCCCCGTGCTCCTCTTGAAGGACGCGAACTGCGACTCGAGCTCCTTGATGCGTTCCCGCAGCGCAGCCTTCTCGGCGTCCGCGTCGTCCCTTTTCCTCTGCTCGGCCTCGAACTCGCGCATCTTGTCTGCCACGATCCTGTCCACCTCCTTCTTGCGCTTCTTGCGCTCCTCCTCCGCCTGCTTGGACAGCGTCGTGACGTCTCTCTTGAGCTTCTCAATGAGCTTCTCCTGCGTCTTCTTCTCGGCCAGCGCCAGATCGCGCACCTCGTTGAGCAGCTGCTCGCTGTCCAGCTCGTACTGCCGCTTCCGGCTCCGGTGCTTCTCCTCCAGCGCCGCGCGGTCCTGCTCCTCGTCCTCTTCGCGGGGCACGGTCGAGACCTCCTTCTTCCGCCTGATTGGCTCCTTCTTCTCCTTCTCTTTCTCCTCCTCCTTCTTCACCTTTTCCGCGGCTGCTGGGGCCTTGCGGGGTCTGCCTCGCTTCTTCTTGGCTGGCGGCTGCTGCTGCTCCTCCTCGTCGCTCTCGTCGTCGGGGCCGTCGTCCTCGAACTCCACGTCGCTGTCGTTGTCCTCATAGTCCCACGAGCTTTTGCGGCGTCGACGCTTCTTGGGGCCGTCGGTCTTCTTGGGGCGGCCGCGCTTCTTGTCCCCGACGGCTGCAGGCTTCTTGCTCGGCATCGGCACTCAAGGTCGCTGCTTGTCTGTCTTGCCTCAAAAAATGGGTTTCCGGCCGCCCAGCTTTGAAAATTGGGTATTTACAAATGGCGGTTTTGTGTGCGACTTTATTTTGTGATTTGGAATTTGTGAGTTGAAGTGCTCTCGTTTGTCCAAACTTTCGGTGGCAGTAAACCCACCGAAGCCCCCAGTATGTTGCTTCTTGTGCAGCTCGCCGATGCACTGCCCTGCAGTTCCCATTCCACCGAACCATTTTTGCGTTGTGGTGGTCGATTCAACTGGTCTTGAATTCAACATGGGAGCTCGGCGATTGGCCGGATACATCGAGTCGATCTTCCCCAAGATACATGCAGTCAGTCGGCTTGCAACTTGCAAGCCGACACAAGTTGCAAGTGGCGTACCAAGGCCCTCTCTATATTAGCTTACGCCGACCGGCAGGCCGTTGGGCTGCTAGCCTTGCACCAAATAGTCGAGTCGCGATAATGACGATCACACGAATGCAGGAAGCAGTACGAGTGATCATCAAGCCCATCCTCCGCCGCTGCGTGTGGTCCATAAGCACCCTCACAAGATCTTTCACTGACTCATCGACAAATGCCAGACCACGTTTTGTGAATGGCGTTACAGCAACCATATGACGACAACACGACAGAAATTAAAGCAATCACAAGGCCTAAAGCAACCCTAAAACCAGCTGGCACCCGGTAATTTATTTTAAATGACGCGTAAATGACAGGGACACGTCGCCCTCGTCATGGTCTTGCTACATATATCTCTAAATTTAGACACGTCGTCCTGGCGTCTAACTGATGTTCTCTACACAGCAATACGTGAAACACATGACAATATGTGTCCCACATTTTCAACACTTAGCAGATTTTGAGCGACAGCAAAAATGGAGAAGAAATCGCTGGCACATGAGCTGGTGCGCGCGAGAATCGCCGAGATTGCACTCCTCAAGAAGAAGCTGGATGAGCTTACCGAGCATCTGGAAAAGCTTCTGGCAGCGCAGCTACAAATCTAAGCCCTCGTCGAAGATCGCGAAGAGAACAGCTATGCGTTAGCAGCCGTCTTGGGCGATGAAGGGGCCAACCAAGGTGGTCTCACCGCAGAGGACGACGCTCTTTCCCTCGATGTTCTACTGGAGCTGGCGGTGCGAAAAATGAAAGACTAATGCAGCATAGACTCTGTATTTAAAGGTAAATACAGACTGTGGTGTTTCTCAGAGCTGGTTCTGTAGCTGCTGATGAATCTGGCTAGCTTTAGCGACGTCGCATTCAGAGAGATAACGTTCTTGGGAGTAACACATGATGACCCACAGCATTTTCAATCGCATCACCTTGACGGCGTTCTTGGAAATTCTAGAAAGTTGCATCTGCAAGTTCCCCGTAAGATAGCTGTGGGTGTCGAAGTATCCTGTTCAGCTGGAGGATGCCTATCTAAGAGCTCGGAAGATTGATTGTCATTGGGAAATTGTACGACCTGCGGACTACATGCACACATTTGTAATTCCACAAGACCTCGCCCTATCAATGCAGGCAGCAACGACTAATACCCGGAAGGAGATCCACAGTTTTGGATCAATCGCCAAGACGACGTCGAGAACAAGTCCTTGCTTCTTGGCCTTTTCATCCAGTACAATTGGCTGCTTCTCCTTCCGGGTAGTAGTCGTTGCTGCCTGCGTTGATAGGGCGAGGTCTTGTGGAATTACAAATGTGTGCATGTAGTCCGCAGGTCGTACAATTTCCCTATGACAATCAATCTTCCGAGCTCTTAGATAGGCACCCTCCAGCTGAACAGGATACTTCGACAGCATCTCCATCACGCGCTTCAGATTTGAGGTGTTTCTGGCCCAAATCAGGAACTGATCCAAACTCACGGCAAGTTCAGTGGGGTACTTGTGAACAGCAAGCCGGTCGGCTTTGAGACTGATCGTAGTTTGCCTCAGCTGTTTCGGAGTTGACCTTGACTTTCCTTGGCTTGGTGGCTTAGGTACTCTAACGACATCGACCTGGCGCACGCGCGACTCTGTGTCAGGCTTCGTAGAGCTTGAAACCTTGTCACAGCTACTCATTCCGCAGCTGTCATGAGATTTCTCGTCGATGGGGGGTCGAATTGGAGATGACTGCGAAAGGTGAGTGCGTTGTGTCGGTAACATACTTTCGTCGGACTCGTAATCGCCATAATTCATGGTCATGGGGCTG